CCTAATGTAAAACAGGTAAAAACCAGTGTGAATGTAAAGGATAGGAATTTGGGCCTTGTAGACACCACAGTATTCTTAGGGATTACTTTAGATTCTAAGCTTCAATGGGGCCCACATACTGATAAATTGTCAAATAGACTTAGCTCTGCAGCATATGCCGTAATGAAGATACGCCAGTTAACGGATGTAGATACGGCCAGATTAGTGTACTTTAATTAATTTTATTGTGGGGAAACGCCGCCGACATTCAAACTATTTTTGTGCTGCAGAAGAGAGCTATTCGATCAATTTATAATCTTAAAGTTAAGGATTCCTTAAGAGATAGGTTTAAAGAATTTGGTATAATGACAGTCGCATCACAATACATTTTCGAAAATTTATTACGTGTAAGAAAAAATATTAATTTGTTTCTTAAAAACAGTGATGTTCACACACTTAATACAAGAAACAAAAATAAACTAACTTTACCTGCTACTAGGCTTCACAAAATCAATAATTCATTTAAAGGTCTTTGTGTTCGCTTATACAATAAAGTCCCAAGCAATATCCAAGAGTTAAGCATAAATAAATTCAAAGATAGTATAAAAAAAGCACTTATTAAAAAAGCTTATTACAAAGTGTCTGAAGTATATTACAGACAAAAATGCTTGGGTTTGAACTGTTCCAATCATTCCAACAGGTTTTCTATATTAAATAAATCATGATTGTATTGACGTTGTAACAACATAATGATTTGTAAATGTTTTTACATTATGCTTTTAATGTTGTTTTTTTCGCTCGTTTTTCTCCGTAGTTAAAAATATGTCCAATAACGAGTGGTAGGGAAAAACAATGTTTGGACGATTCAAAAGTGTTGTACTATACATCCAATTTGAATAAAGATAAGAAAGATTTCTGATTTCTATCCCCAGGGATATAGTTATATTATCCCTAGGGATATAATTATATTACGGTGTTATCTTACTGCGACATGTATAAAACGATTTTAATATTTAGACGGTAAGGGAATATCTACAAAATGTTAAAGTTTTGTCCAAGTATTTTTTCTATAGAAATTCTTGCAGTCCAATTACAAACTACTAAACTTGTGTTTGTTCTACCGAAATTAGGCTCAATATCAATCAATATATTTTGTTAGTTACTCATAAATACTAACAACGTTAGACCAGACAAATTTCTAATAAAAGGGAATTAATTTACAGTAATTCTCAGAAATATCTTTAAAGGCAGACTTATAACTTTTAATTAGTTTGATTTTGAATAAAGTTGTTCAAGGGTGTAAGCCTGTACCGACTTCGTCACTTAAAATCTTAACAAAATAAAATACGCGTAATTACAATTTATTAGCTGTGTTTGTTTCAATAATGCTTGAATGTTTATTCAGACATTTACTGAAGATTCCCAAAAGTTTATAATTATTGGAATTCAACAAGTAACTAACTACTGTTGCCAGTTTCAATATTTCAAAGGCCGTTTATTTGTTCCTAAAAGTAGAATATTATTACCTTCAGAATGAAAGTGACCTAAGTCTTACTATGCGATTCAAATAAGAATAGGAAACCCAATGACCTCCATCTGTCAAATGTCGCTTGAAAAGTACGGTTTGCAAAAAAATCTTGGAATACTTTTTTTAGCACTAAGCTAATCTGAGAATAAATACCAAACATTTGTAAACAAACGAAGGAAATAAATCATATGTAACCTATAGAAAATGAGTACTGAAAAAGGGAAGTATCTGAACATTAGTTTTATTATAAATACAGGTAAAAAAATACCGTTTTTATTTTAAATAAAGCATCTTTTTTGCTTACACAGAATGCATATCTATAAAACTTTTCGCTTACTCGCCAGCGGTAGGACAATTCCTTAAAGGTAAAATTTTAGAAATACCCAACACTTTGGGCTAGTTATTAAGAGCGAACGCGATCTGAGAGAAATAGGTATTTGAAAAAACTATTAGTGTCACGTATTATAGTAGGGGAGCCCAAGCGGGGTTTTTCCCGCTCTAGGCGATTTCCTCCTCGAAAATTAGATATTATGTAAAATAAATTTCACCAATAGAATAATAAGTAGTTATACTACACCTCTATGTTTTCCTTTTTGAAGTTATACTTCTTTAGGCGCGTTATGAAAAAATGATGAGAGTGAAATTTTAAGATGCGCCCGCATCACTGTAACTCAAAATTTTAACAGCATGAAGTTGGTCGCTTTAGCGACAGAGCACATTAAGAAAATCTACCAACAAAATAGAAATAGAATCTCTATTATGTGGGTGCTAACGACTGCATTGTGAAGGCCTATCAAAAGTATTTATTAATCTGGAACAACGGAACCAAAGCGCGATTCAGGAGACTACAGCGCCATCTCTTGACCATTGGTGTAGTAGAACCAAAACCCACATCTTTATTTTTTGTAATAAAGTAACAGTTATCGGTATTCATATTTATAATATTTATCCACATGTTTCTAGTTTGTATATTCGGATTACGTGTTTGAGTTTCATACAAGTGCAAATCACATATGTTCTAATAAATTATATTCAGTAGCGATTTTAATTGAATATTTTGATTATTTATTTATTTTTTCAAATTAAAACTGAACTTTATTGACTGTGTCCTTTTCCAGACTTTTTATTAATTTATTGTAATTAATTATTTGCATGCAATTAAAAACTAATTTTAAGCGATGCCAAAGAAGGATAACTTCTCACGCGCCTACATAAGTACACGCACCCATTTTTTTGTAAATGCTTATTAAATCTTCACGTCTTTAGTGATGATAAAAAAAATGATATATTTGGAATTTTTTAGCGCTTCTAGTTTCTTTGAATCACAAGTGATCGATAAAAGGTAAAATTATATTACACGTATCAAAATCAATTCTTTAGTGATAAAAATCAAGGAGCAATCGGACGAGAATGTTTGAATGGAAAAATACATTGCCCACCTCCCCTCTTAAAATACTAAACCGGCCTTTCTAGGTTTCGAACTTGTACTTACTATCGCTATAAGTATTTTCTAATTATGATCATAATTGGTAGTATAGTCCCTTTCTACCAATATCGTAAAAAAAGGATACCATGACTTAATATATGAAAAACCTTGAATTAGCGACTGTCGTGCGATTCGTGTTTGATACGAAAGTCGAATTAAGAAAAACATTTTTTTTTACTCTGAACTTCTCGCTCTGGATAGGAAAATAAATCTGTTTTTGTTTTTTTTTTATGTTAAAAGGGTTTGAAAACAATCTTTATCAAGGTGGAGGTTACTTCCCCAGACGGGCGCTCCAATTTGAGCCGAAAACCCGCTATGCCCTACGTCACTTAAATCTGCTTCAGGTTTATTATTGTTTCAGATTGTCAATAATTTGAAAGATGTCGAGAAAATATATCGGCCCACACCCACCACGTTCCGTGACATCGTCATGGATATCCTCAACGATTTAGTCATCACTTATGCTTCCATCGATGATAAAACAGCTTACAGGAGAAATAGGAACGACACTTATTTGGAAAACTTTCTAAAAATATCTCAGAAGATTATATGGAGTGTTAAAAAGTGTAACCTTTAAGCTGGATGACTGTGTTTCTATATCGACCTAATTCATGTTGTTTTACTACATAGAAATAAACAATAGGTTTTTACGAGTAAATATTTCAGAAGATTGAAGATTTCTACCATGTTTGATTGCAAATAAAAATTATTATCATTATATTATTATAAGAAATCTAACTGTTGTAAGCTTAAATAAAAATCTAATAATCAGACTTTGTTGTTTGTGTGTTTTGTTTTTCATTTCAGACTTTGTTTCTTTTTATTATTTTATTTACATTCGAATTGTACATATCTGCCAAACTGTACAACAGTTTGTCGGCACAGTAGTTCTTGTGGATTTTCATCATTATTTAAATTATCATAATATTTTTAGAGTAACTATAATAATAATTATAGTTCCTACTCTTACCCCTCGTTTACACCAAGGTATAATACATGTATAGGTATAACAAGTAGAATACAATATTTGCATCAAAATTGTTGGATACAAAAAAAAAATAAGTAGAGTCGCCGACTCGAGAGGCTCAAATCTCGGTGGGGGCAGATGTTTGTGTGATGAATACGAGCAGTTGTACTCCAGTCATGGATGTTTAGTATGTATTTCTAAAAATATACTTATATATGCACAGTTTATGTATTCTGTCCGTTACCCTAGTATCCCATAACACAAGCCTTATAGTGCTTACTTTGGGGCTGGGCTAATTGGTGTGAGTGTTGGAAATATTTATTATTAATATAGGTAAGTTCTGTCTATTTGAAATAACAAAATTGGTTAACTTTACCTTTAACTAGAATGATATATATTTATGTACAGATTTCTAAATTTTCATTGAATATTGAACCACCATTGAATGGTTTTGACCCCCTGAAAAAATAAAGCATCAAATCAAAGCCTCAAATCACTCCCCAGAATTAAAACATCAATCAAGCAGGCCAGCGGCGTCATTCGTTAATATTTTTAATTTGTTACGAAACTAGCACATTATCGGAATCCGGGACAATATGGTCTAATTACTGGACACGGGACCAGACGCAAAATTCCGGGACAATCCCAGATTTCCCGGCCATCTAGCAAGCCTATAGTTACTGACAGTGTTACCAGAAAGCCATTTTGCCTTCTCCCCAAAGCTTCCCCGAAATCCCCCAAAAAATCAGTGGCTACTGATTTTGATTCCATTGGTTAAGATTTTTTATTTATTTGTATTTTAATTCTTAGTGTGGGACGTAGAGACTCAATTAGAATTGTAATTTATCGGTCGTTATGTTGCGTTTAATTAACATTCACACTGTGCCACGATATTAACACGATTATTTGCTTACATGAGTTTTTATTATTAAGTAGTAGGTATTCTTTCAATCCTTTGTAGAGCAAAATGTTACCTACTCTACAAAATAGGTAGGTTCTAAATAATTTCGCAGGTGGTTAGCGCGTTCGGCTGCGATCTTTGAAGTTAAGCAACTTTCGCAGTGGTCGGTCATTGGATGGGTGACCAAAAATCTTGTATCTCGTGTTCCTCTGTGCTTCGGAAGGCACGTTAAGCCGTTGGTCCCGGCTGCATCTGCAGTCGTTAGTTCATGGCCCAATCTCCCTATTCTATCCATAGGGAAGGCCTGTGCCCCTGCAGTGGGGACATTTATAGGCTGATGATGATAAATTTCATAAGAAACCACATGATATCAGTTGCATTCTTAGGTACAGGTTATCATATGTCTTCGTGTATACGTATTTGTAGTGCAGAAATTGCCATTCGACTAGCAATAAGTTTTTATCCGACTTACAACAAAAGGAGTGTGAAATTTTCAAGTATCATGTCTGTGAGTGTCTCGTGTATCTTTGTAAGTACGTTTCTTTATTCAGCAACAATAACTTCACAGAAGAGATTTGGATGTACCTATATAACATTATATAAAATGAATATAAAATAGATGTCTATAAGTACCGATCATTATTTATTTATTTCTTTTAATTTTAAAGACTGACAGTGACTGGTTCCAAAAACCTAGTTGTATACAGAATACACTACAATTCTACCACACCTGTATTTGCTAATAAGTTAAGTATAGGAAGCGATTCGATTTATCGCTCCACAGAAAGGAATGACTCAGTTTAAATTTGTCACGCACCTCATTAATAATCACTCCAGCTGATTAACTAAACCGATTTCCTATAGTTACTTCAAGTCAATGTTAAAAGATGGCGCCACTGAACACTTTTTCATCTACAATGTGGCTACAAATTGTGAAAAAGCTGAAATTATCGCAGCGTCCGTCGTTGTATGTGGCGCCACCTAGAGTATATACTTACTGATAAGAATGAAATGTTACTGAAATATAAAGGTAGACAACCGGTATGTTGACTTGACAGTCTAAACGTGGTACGAGCACACATCGAAATGGCAGGTAAGCGATAGTGATAGTGACCCGTGATTGCAGTGATAACGAAAGTGCTAACACTTATTCATGTAGAAAAGGAAAATATTGTGAAGAAACAAAAGGAAAGGCTAATATTTGAGCTGCTGAGAAAATATTGCACTATATCAGGGCTCATATTTGAAGTAAAGTGGGTGTGGAAATTGCGAAACAGCAAATTATGTCATGTTATTTATCAGCGTTAGTCTCATAGATAAGTTATAATTGAGTGTTAAAGCTGAAATAATTATTAGCAAAAGAATAAGGATTTCAAAACATTATGCAGTAACAGGAGGAGCTCAATGGCGCAAGTTGTTAACGCGTTCGGCTGCAATCGTTAAAGTTAAGCAACTTTCGCAGTGGTCGGTCATTGGATGGGTGACCAAAAAAATTTACTATCTCGAGCTCCTCCGTGCTTCGGAAGGCACGTTAAGCCGTTGGTCCCGGCTGCATCTGCAGTCGTTGGCACCCACCAATCCGCACTGGGCCTGCGTGGTGGGTCACGGCCGAATCTCTCTATTCCATCCATAGAGAAGGCCTGTGCCCTAGCATTGGGGACATTATTAGGCTTATAGGCCTTTTAGGATAACAAACCCCTATTCCTGAAAAATTTTGTAGAAAATGTTAAGAAGAAATAAAGGTTTAGTGTTATTATTACTATGCAGTACTTAAGGTATTTAATAAATAAAAGTTGAGATTGTAACTAACTAAACTACTTACTAACTTTCTGGTGATTTCCTTCAAATTGAGTTTTTGAAACGTAGGCTATCGAAGCGCCGGGAAATACTGAGTTCATTAAAGGCTATGTATGACATTTGTTCGTATTGTTAATTTGCTTAAGACATTTAATAAACAGATTAAGGTATTTAAATAATACTGGTGGATACCCTAAGTTCGTCACATATATTATTGTAGCTTTCTATAAAAAAATAATTATCTCCTTTTTATTTATCCATTTCCAGCATTCTTTTCGCGACAATCTTTTCGCCTTTTTACCAATTTTTATGAAATTCTGTCTAAGTAGCTGTTTAGACGTTAATGCGAAACATAAAGATTTACCTAATTTCAGCATTTGAAATATTGGCAAGCTTAATAATATTTATTTACATAAGTTTGAAAATAAAAAAATATACATTCGGATTACGTTATGCAGCAGTCGTTGTTTGGTCGTCGATACTTAGTTGCTCTGAAGAAAAAGATGGATATTTTTGACAAAACTATGGATATTATAGTCTTGTTACCTGCAACTAAATTTAGTTTTAATGAGTAAAATTTTCTGTAAGCGTTACCGAAGGCATAAAGTAACATTCAAAGCTACTTATTCATTCAATAATAATAGATTAATTGCATTTCATAATAACAATGAAAATTTAATGATACCTATATAGTAAATAAGCAATTACAGGAAAGCACACTTGTGCATTTACCATGCACAGTTGGTACAGTCATGACCACGACATTGGTGACATTTGCAGTACTAATGTAGCTTTTATTTCAAAAGAATAAAGATGTTTTCAAAATGAACTTGTTTCTATCGATAATGCTTTACTGTAACATATTCAATGCAAACGTGCCGATTGTAACGCAAATACCATTATCATGTAAATTTACAAGTAAAGGATATATTAATACACCTGTGAATACTTTCCAACATTCTAGAAATTTTCGGATTCTCAAAAGTAGACTTTATTTCATTAGACAGTAAAGTTGAAACGATGATGTGGCCTGTTTCAAACAGCAGTACAAAGATAATGATAAAATCAACGATTCGTAAGGTAGATAATAAGCGTAGTAATCAAAATTACTGATATAGCACTAGGTATATCGATATCCGTCATTTTGTTACCGGCAAATTCCTCAGGTATGACAAAATATAGATTATCAGGTTCCTGCTAGGTACTTTAGACCTAACTAAAGTACACAACTACTTTACAATCAATGACAAAATATAAGGAAAGATAATAAATACTATTGATTTTAGAATAATTTCTTTTGTGTTAACACGCTTAACTAGGATCAACATTCTTTCAGGCATATTAAATTAAGACCTAACATACCATATTTATCATTTATCACAAGTCGAATAGAGATGGAATTAGTGTAACTAATAATTAAATTATAAGTGCGACAACACTCTGTTTCAACGTGGCTGATCTGTTAAATGACTAAGTTTAGTTCAACATTATTTTGTGAAAAAATCTTAATTTGGTCGTTTACACCAAACTTATGAGATTCTTAACCTCATTCATAAGTAATTAGGTGACACTATTAGTTTGCATCAAACTTTATGGCAATCTTAACTCGCTGTCAATTCCCGGGGCCCAATTCCCGGGCCCTCACAAAAAAGAGATAAGAAAAACAAAGTTCGACAGATCACGAACTAGGGGACAAATTGTAAGGGGCCCCGGACCTCCACTGCTTCGTTTCCCTCCGATTCCGTCGATCTAACCACGTTTTAAGGTGCTATCCGACGGCCTGAGTTGTCGGGGGCGCGGCCGCGCCGCACAGGGTTACCAAACGTATGAGAACTCTTAGCGTTTGCGATTTAGCAGTCTCTATACATAATACGAGGTAAATAGAAGTCTCATACACTGTGTTATGGCATAATGAAGCTGTACTTACGAGTCGATCTAGTTGAGCCGACCCCCTCAGGTTCGAGTGGTCTAGAGGCTCCAGACGGAGAGGAGACTCCCCACGTGGGAAGATGCCATTCGCCTGGAATACCTCTAGAGGCACTCGCCCATTCTTGGCTTGAGGTCTTCTTAAGATCTCGCTGTTCCCAAAAACGCTGACGCTGTAAAGGTCATCTGCGACCAACAGCATACACACTCAAAACGAAAACTGCTTCGTTGGCCCAGGGCCTCCAAATCTCTAAATCCAAAGCTAGTCAATAGTATCACTTGTTGACGTTCATACTATAGTGAACCTTGTTTGGTGCTAAGAGCTGAGCTTAATAACTAATCGGTCAGGAATCGGCAATAAGCCCTGTTTGTCACGGAAAGTAAAGTTAAAAGGGGGGATAAGTACTTAAATAAAAACTCAAACTCAAAAATCCTTTATTCAGTCTAGGCTGTTCTGGACAAGCACTTGTGAAGGTCGAGAAGGACGCCGTCTTCGGTTCGCAAAACTACGGCGCGAGACTTTGTGCTAAGAAGAACCTGCAAGAAACTCAGCAAGAGCTGTTCTTTTCTCCCGTATTACTATACACAGAGTCTACAAGTTGAAAAATTACTCATCTATATTATAGATTTATAGATACAATAAGTTTTTTAATAGTTAACTTTACATTTTTAGTACATAGGAAGCGGCAGTAGATACTACATTACTGTTATGAAAAATGACAAATACCCATTAAATTACAAATTGCAAAAAACACTATGTCCATGCATTACAATCATCAACTTTATAATAGCCCTTCTCATAGAGTATTCTATATCTGAGATTCAAATTTGGTCAGTGGAAGCTCAATCAGATAAGTGCAATACTAAAACCCAGAAATGAACCTTTTGATTTTTGGTCTGAAACATGGAACGGCAAGCTTGTTCTTAAATCTCGTGTTAAAGTTATAGGTTAGACTTTTTTTGCAAATAAAAACAGTTTGTAAGTCTCAAGCACTGACCACCAGTAGAGAAAAAATATGTTATGGGAAATGAGATACACAGCTTTTGAGACATTACTAATTTTCTGCGAAACAGTATTAGTTATAAACAAAGGTATCAATTTCATTATATAGAATTTAACACATCATAGCGTTAATATATGTTGAAAAATAAATATGCTTACCACGGCTTATTTAGTGCTAAACTCATTTAAGTGTTATTGTCAAAGCAAACAATGAGTGGTTACAAAATAAATATTGGCACCAGTACTTCTTCGTATGTTGTCTGAAACGCTATAGAAATCTAGAAGTTTACTCGCGTTATTTACCTTTTATTACAGTTTGTATTTGATATTGTTTTCTCTTACCCAGTCCGATCACAAGGAATTATCGTTCAGTTGGTCTATGGCACCTAAACTCGATTACTCCATCGAGTAATTTTATTCTGTCATTATTTATAGAGTTGTTCTCATTAAATGAGAACAAATATTTGTAAAGAAAATGTAAAAAAATATGAGTATTAAAAACAAAGATTTTAATATTGTACACAATGATATTCTTAGTTGTACAGGGCATTAAATAACTCACTTATGAATTAACTTTTTATTAAGTGCTTTACTTTACTCCAATCCTGACTTAAAAGTGTAGTTATAGGGAATTACTCAAGATATTATTATCACTTGATTATACAACATTATAGATAAAAAAAATATCAATAATTTAATCTTAAGCCGAAACATTTTTTATTATTATCTTTTACAATAAAAGTTATTTTAGTCCCTGTCAAAAGGTAGTAAAAACTTATTTATCTTGTATAGATATTTATACAAAAACTTGTTCTTGCTAAATAAAATTAATAATGATTAATGTGCTAAGTTTTGGTCTTTCGCAAGATTGTAATTTTGTTTGAAACTGTCTACGAACTGGAACTTAATTCCTAAACTTAAAGCTTGTACTCTTAACAACAGAAAATATATCATTAAGGCATAGACGTAGCTAAAGCAAGAATTATTATTAAAACGGTATTATACTTATATTTAAATAAAATCTGTTCAGTATAAGAAGGGTGTGGGTGGTGTAGGTTCATAATTTCAAACTAAATGCTACAACCAAAGATGGTCGAAAATAATCAAGTCTACTTTTATTTTACAAAATTCAATGTTTAAAATAGTGGCGAAAACTTAAAACATTACAGCTAAATGACAGACGAACGTACATACGGAAAGCGGAGTTAGGGTTACTATTTCGGTACAGAACTCTTAAAAATAACAAAAGAAGAGTGCTTAGAAACACTTAAGAGGGCTATCCGGAGCGACAGACTAGCGGAGCCGGCAAATTGAGGGTAATTGAAGAAAAATATTCTTCTGCTACTTTGCTAACTTCACAATCAGATAAGGTGGAGCCATTAGTTGGACCTTGTGTAAAAAGAAATATTAAATCCTACAAGGTCCAGTAAAAGAGAGATTATCAATATAACAAAAAAAATGTTATCCAGGACGACCTTATTACGGTTACGGTCAACCACCGCCCGGGATGCCGCCCGGCGCTCCCCCTGGCTACCCTCCCATGATGGCAGCACCCGGGATGGTATACTACCCCATGCACCCCGCCTACTTCTACCCTTACCCCCACCCTCCCCCCGGCGGAGGCATTAACATCGTGGATGAGTCAGCACCCGCAGAGATCGTGCCCACCCTCCCTGGGGAGACGGTCGAGCTACCTTGGAGTAAGTCTGGACGGTGCAGAGATAACACCTTGGCCATTCACGCTTTCACCTCATCAATTCCTAACTTAGTCATCGCTCTTAGAATTTCCTTTAATACTGATATTTCTGATACACTATATCTTTGGAAACTTGAAAACGTACCTTTAGAAACATTTAAAACGATTATAAGATTAGTACCTAATAAAAATGAAAATAACTAAAAACCCAAGGTTGATAAAATATCGGACCTAATCATTACATTAATCCAACAGAAACATGATAACATCGAAAATCTATTAAAACGATTAATCATATTTTTATCACTAAAAAATTTTACGAGTGTAAAATATTTAATGTTTTAATACTTATTTATACGATCATATTCATTATTGCTAAGAGAAAAGGGTGTTATCTCGCTTGCAGCTTTCTCTACTGTGTGCCGATGCTGGGCCAATATTCTTTATGGTTGCTTTATCCAGACTTACTCTCGGGATTATGGGCCGACTGAAATTAAAGAGTTTGCTAATGACATGATTGATTATTCTGATCATCAACAAAAACAAGACAACATTTAAAAGACTTATAAGAAGGAACTAATATTACTAATCTTTTACTAATATTGTTGCGGATAAGTGGGAAATGTCCATATTAATTTGATGAGATTGGGAATTTCAGTTAATTTATCTCGCAATATACTAACATGTTAATACTCGAACAATATTCTTTATGATTGTTATTAGGTGCGACTAATGTTAAGCAGTGAAATAAGTGATAATAATATATAAACCATATTGAGTATTGGCCGAAGCTTCTTGTGTTGTCTGTTTTCTAGAAAGTCCTTACTTGTGTTCTTTAATTTCAAGTAATACTAAATTGATTCACTGAAAGCTTTCCTACTTGTGATGAATGTTTTTTTCCAATACTAAATCTCTTGTTTTTTTAAACCGAATAAATCATTGAATTAGGAAAACCTTGCCATCCTATATAGAAACTAATTTTCTAATCAATCAGCATATCTGATTATTAGGTCAGCTTAGAACCGTTAATCTATTCCAGAAATAATTGGCCAGATGCCTATTGATAAGTAGTTTGGATTTATTCCAAATAGCTTAATATTGCTAAATAACTTATTATAACGCAAGTTTTTACAATCAATATATAATATAGCGCATGAAAAAAAAGTTGCCATTTCATCTACTTATACCAATTCCAATTCTACTCAAGAAATAATTTAAATGTATCCATTAGCTATTAGACTAAATAAAGACCACATTTTATGGTTATAATTTTTTGAAGTAATATTTTCTTTAACATGTTTATATGGATGATTTGGTAACAATGTTAAGTATGAATGTTGCATTTCTTTTAGGTACATACAAATGGGTTCCCGCGTGCTTGAGCCAGCAGAGCATTCCTCCTGGTGCCCTGAGGGTTGGTACCGATGCAGATGGTGAGCCGATCTATGCTGGCAGAGCTCCGTACATGGGAGACGTCTTACCTGCCAAGGTCATCCCTTCAAAGAATGCCTGCTACGTCTGCCATAATGGACAAGAAGTCCTTATTGACCAGTTTGAGGTAAAGAGCGGTCTTTTACAGACATTCATTCCTTAAAATATACTCATCAAAAAGTCTCAGCAACATGTTATGCGGTTATGTTCTAGCTCTATTATCAAAGTTCATCATCATCATCAGCCTATTAATGTTCCCACTGCTGAGGCACGGGTCTTCCCTATGGATGGAATAGGGAGATTGGGCCATGACCCACCACGCGGGTCCAGTGCGGATTGGCGGGTGCTAACGACTGCAGATGCAGCCAGGACCAACGGATTAACGTGCCTTCTGAAGCACGAAGGAACTGGAGATAGAAGATTTTTGGTCACCCGTCCAATGACCGACCACTGCGAAAGTTGCTTAACTTCAACGATCGCAGCCGAACGCGCTAATCACTTTCTCCATCGAGCTCCTCCTATAAACACTTAATAACACACAATTATATTTCTTTCAGTTTGTTGAGTGGTTTTAAGATTTTACGCTGTTACCGTGAATATGCCACACATTAAAAAATCTAAGCAACACGTATCATATATAGAAATTGTGTGTTTTAATAATTGATGTTTATTTTTTTTTACTTAGCAAAGAACTACTTTGCTTTGGTATAAAATTTTATTTGTTTGCGAAATATAATTGGCTGTTGTAGGTCATTGGGTTTAAATTCGACAAGGTGACGATTGATCTCCATATAAAAATAGTTAAGTAGCTTGGGCATGAAAATCCAAAAGTTGCACATAGGCATATAAGAATATAAAGTTACTTTCACATCTATAGTACACATTAATATGAATGTAGAACATGTATGTCGTAAGATGAAACCCACACACATAATGTCTTTGCAGTGAACAATCATTTGTCATTATAATTATATGTACGTTCTCTCCGTAACCGCAGTTAATTATAATATAATAGCTGTATCGAACATTGCAATATTGTTAGTGATATCATAATGTGTAGACCTTGCTTAAGAGAATATGTTGTTATGCATATAGGTAACAACTTCTGATTTTTAGAGTTTCACAAGACAGTTATTTGGATATATTGATATCTACTAGTGAACTCCTAGCTTTTTTAAGTAATACTTCTGTGGTATACTTTTGAAAACTAGTATTTTAATTAGCCACTGTAATTGGAAACACTATATTAAATTTTATGTCTCACTGCTGGGGCACAAGCCTTACCTATGGATGGAATAGGGAGATTGAGCCAGAACTCAACACGCGGGCCTAGTGTGGATTGGTGAGTGTAAACGAGTGCAGATGCAGCCGGGACGAACTTCTCGTGCCTTTTGATCAAGGAGGAACTCGAGATGGTAAATTTTTGGTCACCCAACCAATGAACGACCACTGCGCCATTGCTTTTCATCAACGATCGCAATCGAACGCCCTAACCATTTGCCACATCGAGCATTAGTTTTGTAAATGTTAAGTAGACGAGTTGCAGTAACGAGGGAAAACTGTTTTTACTAACTTGATCTCACCCTCCTTTCAGGTGTTGGTGCCATCGATGTTCTCGTGGCAGTTCAGCACAAACGGTGAGGTGCCCCCAGGTGCTGTCGCCGCTGGCAGCACCGCTGACGGCGAGAAGTTGTACTACGGCAGAGTGACACATGACGGATGCACCACTCCTGGCAAGGTAAGAAATGTGTTTGGAAAGGGTATTTAGGAGAAGTTTCTGTCATAGTTATTATATCAGCACATGAATGTGCAAGCTTTTAGGAACCACTAGCTTACAGAGACTGCAGACAAATAATGCTATGTCTAATACAGTGCTCCTGCTGTGAGTACCTTTTCAATTGAGCTTTACCATACCACTCATGGTGGTATTTTAATTAAGATTCACTGGACCTTGAATAGAAAAGGAGGGTGCTGAGTATGAGTTGGAATCCGCTTAGGAGCAACAAACCCACAGACAGACTCATCAAACTTGAACACCCCACTATTTGGGTCAGAGGTTATAACCATGTAGTGTTAAATTAAAACTAAAAAAAATTAATGTCAGTCTTATTCATGATTTTGTTGGCGCTTCTAAATTAGATTGTAACTCGTAACCCTTCTGATTTTAGAACTCCGTCTTCCACATACATACATTTTTTATTCAAGCGTTTCATTGGTCACTTACGAAGTTAGCAGGATACAGTTGTTTTAGGGACCCCGCACATGGGCCACAAGCCACAACCAAAAAACGCCGCCGACGGCATATTTACTGTAGTTTTCATTCATTTTATATGGACTCGCCACGAAGCTTGTGACAGCCACTCGCGTTTTGTGGTTGTGGCCGGTGGCCCGAGTGCGGCGACACTTAAGAAATAAAACATCAACCTTTAACCTGGCCTCAACGGTGCTAGAATTCTCTATCCGTTCCTTTTTCTTTTCTTGGCCAATATAAGAAAACAATATAAGGTAACCTTTTTTAATTCGAGCTTTTTTTCCCAGATTCACACCAGCCATGGCTGCTGTTACTATCCTTTCGATGGCGAGGAGAAGTCTTCTACTGAATACGAAGTTCTGGTCCTCCTATAAGTGGACATAAATACCTATCCAAAAGGGCTATTATAGACACTGTATTCAGAAGCTTAGAATTTTATTACTTAAAATAATTCCATTGTGACACTACTTCTTTACTTGGTAGCTGAAATAATTATTACGTTATTTATTTTTGTATCTTGCCTTAAATCTTAAAAGTTTTTATTTAGTTTGTGCCAATATGATATCTTTATTAACCGAATCGTTAATAAAATCTTATTATGTTTGACGTTATGACTACATTTTAATAATATTAAAATACTTGTTGTTTTAATTTTCGTCGTTTCATTTGATATTGTTCCATGAAAAATAACGTATTCACTGAAGTATCTCAGAATATATTTCATGATTTGCAGTGCATTCTGTAATGACAAACTCACTTTTCACTTCGGAATCCGCGTAGTGATTTAATATTAGAACATGAATTTCAAATCACACCGGCGAATTCCGAGTGAGTTTGTTTTAAGAGAACAGGAGGCCTACTCTATTTCAACGAAAAACGAAATTTCGATCGAAATTTCGCACGTTCCTTACTCTGTTTCTATTTCATTTCGAAAATTGGTTCGTCCGAAAATAGTTTGACATTTAAATTCTCCAAGCCTACTCTAATTCACAATACTTTCGAACGAAAAGTTGAATTTGACATATAATTGTTCGAAATTTTAACCTCAAATTGAACAAATGAAAAGTGTTATCTTTTCATTTTCGTTTTGGGACTTTTGTTTGAATTAAGCCTTAAATTACTGATAGAGTATTTTTAATCAAGGCTGCTTAGCGTGAGGAACATTTTTTAGCATGTCAAATTAACAAATACACCAAAGTTTAATTAATTATTATATTTCCAACACTTCAAAGTATTAAACGACAAATTTAGGTTGACATACAATAAAATGCATCAACTCTACAAATTAGTCGGCACACTGTCAAAGACGGTTCTTTTAATGTCATCAAAATTTTTGTAGTAAAGTAATATTGTTTCCAAGTAAAACATGTAATCTAAAAAGTGAAGATAAATGAACTCATAAACATGACTCATTCCATTCGTTCTCGAAAATTGTCTGTGCATCCGAACTTTATGTGCGTGTTCGAAAATGAAATAGAGTAGAGTCATTGGCGAAATTTCGTTTCGGAGAAAGAGAGTAGAGCTCCAGTACTGCTAAGGGCCTAGAACAGTCTAGAACTAAGGACTAGGTGTCGTCACTAATATGGGTTTCCTACATTGATTTTCAGCCCCTTCATCGCGATAAAAGTTGAACTTAGACCATTAACTTAAACTTTTATCACGATGCCTGTTAATTAGACAGTTGAGAGATAGTTTTTCTTATATTTTCATTTTAAGCATTAAACTGTAGGTTTATTTTTACATTTAAAAATAATTTTACTAGAAATATTTCAACTCGGTAAAGGCTATACTCGGTAGATTAGCGGGCAATGTAATCGGCCGGATATGTGTATTTTTCTGTTATAATTTTCTTTGAAAATTTGCAAGAAATTAACAAACTTCTTTAGTTTTAAGTTATGTCTCCAAAATTCATTGAAATTTATTTAATGACACACAGGCAGGGTTATTATGTACTTTCGCATTTATTGTATTAAGTATAGTTTAGTATCTAACATTTATTAGAGAAGCTCGATGGCGCAAGTTCTAAGCGCGTTCGGCTCCGATCGTTGAAGTTAAGCAACTTTCGCAGTTGACGGTCATTGGATGGGTGACCAAAAATTTCTTTTCACGAGCTCCTCCGTGCTTTGGAAAGCACGTTAAGCCGTTAGTCCCGGCTACATCTGCAGTCGTTAGCACCCACCAATCTGCACTGGGCCAGCGTGGTGGGTCATGACCCAATCTCCCTATTTTAATAGGCTGGTGATGATGATGATCAATTTATAAGAGGAACAGATGTTGTGTTCCCAATGAAAACATAAAATTATATTTAAAACGCGACTAGAGCTCTACCTATCGAGTATAGAGTTGTTATTTAAGTTTTCATAAATTTTCTAATTTCTCGAAGTTTCTTCATATGATTAGAAAACTTAAACGAGATGGATGAAATCGGTAATATCGTCCTCAAGATACGGCACGAAGGGCAAATAAGTTGGGATTCTTTTTATGTATAAAATATAGATATTGCATATATTTCTGGTACTGTCAAATCGTATTGCCTTTATCAGTGGCCCGCAAGATAAGGTGCTTAAAATGTTAAGCTGGTGTAGATAATATGGGATAAGATAAAAGGATATGATACTACAATACTTTTATTTCCCAGAATGTGTTTTTTTATTCTTGTACAATATCATATCTTATTTGACATATTGAAATAAGAAAAAAGCTGGCCAAGTCAAAATCTCGAACATTGAAGTAACAATGTTTCAGATTAAACATTAAAGTCAAGCAAAAAAATTCGAAAAAGTCATAGGTATTTCTGGTAGCGGGTCATTAATTTTATTTTTTTTACTTAAATGTAACTTTAATATTACTTAAATTTTAATGGTTTTCGCTACTTAAAGCGCGATTAGAAATACATAATTTGTAAGAAAACACTATTCACAACACTGTCTATTAATTCCTTTTTTTTAAACTTTTTTATTCTTGTAATGTTGCATTTTCAAGGTTCTTTTTCTACCTAACGTCAACTCGCTGATAGACAGACAGACGGAAGTACGTACACTGATTAGTAATCCTAAAAATAATCAATTTGGGGTGACAGCTTCGAAAGCACACCACGAGTAGATGAATCATAACATGAGACATGTAAATGACAAGTTTTGAGACAAGATTAGACTGATACAACCGTATTACCCAATGTCACCGTCTATGCATTTATAAACAACAATATTGCATTGTAACTTATATAATTAGTACACTGCACAGGTTTAGGCGCACGCGCAGGCATGCTTTTAAATACTTTACTCGCATCACAGCTCATTCAAGTGTCGATCACGGTCAGAACTACACGTCTCAGTATAACCTGGTCGTGAAGTTGTAGAAAAAAAATAATCGATTAAAATTGTGTCTGAAAAAAGTGTCTCTTGTTGTTTAGGAAAAACCCTGACCTACAATGAAGGTTGTGCCTCATTTCATGGTGTTATGTAAGTAATTGTTTCTTTGATGTTGTTGTTCCCACGGTAACTTAAGCTATTAACTTCCGTAAAAGTAACTTATCTTGACCTAATATTTATGTTAACAGAGTATCGTGTTGTATAAACCTTATACCTTACTATTTCCAATAATCCATTATTTTTTCATTGTTTACTTCTTTAATGTACACTTACGTATACTTAATTGAATTTAAATATTTGAGTTTTTATCTTCACCACTTTCCACGAAATATACTCTTTCGATTAGTATTAATAATAATTATTGTATTCATTTATTTATGTAGTATTCATTTATCTTTTTTTAAAACATCAAAATAATATAATTGCTACTAACCGCTACTAAACATTTAACAAGTTATTTGATTTAAAGTTTAATCAAACAGTTTTCCATGCAAACATTCAGGCTTCATAATCAAAATAGCTCAATTTTACTTTAATATTTAATATTCGTAATAATAAAAAACGAAAACAGACAGGTTTCCCCTTTTTGCTTCAATGTAAGGGTTTTTCTTAAGAATTGCAAGTATGCATTTAAGTATGTGACTTATCTTGTCCTGTCCTCTGTTTGTATGGACCTTTCTTGTCATTGAAGATAATTTAATCAATGGGTATAATAGAAAGAAAAATACATTGGAGAAAAATTTCTATTTTCGAACTTAATCTGAACTTAACAATCATGGCAGAATAAAGTTAGGAAATTGAATAAATCCTCCTTATACACGACACGTTAATTTTTTAATCGACTACTGCACAAGATTTCTATGAACTTTATTAATTAGCTGAGCTTTTACTTATATAGCAAGACTAAATACTAATCTAGAAATTCCCGGTCACTATAAACAAACAATGATATTCCTAATCCAATGTGCTCCATTGTAGATGCATGAAATGAATATTATTACTATACTTATTGGCCTTTTCTATGTATACAAAAGCCATACACATAGCCATTTGTGTGTATACACATAAATATCACTCACACCATTGCCTACCCTGTCACTCTCAGGTTCGAGTAGTCTAGAGGCTCCAGACGGAGAGGAGACACCCCCAGTGGGGAGATGGAATCCGCCTGGAATACCTCTAGAGGCACTTGCCAATTCTCAGCTTGAGGTCCCCTTAGGATCTCACCGTCCCAATAAAATTAACTGATTTTTGCTGATTTTAATAAAAACAGCTATAAAGTTAATAAAAATGTAAATCTAAATGTACCTTTTTGGAAAGCTTATGAAAGTGATTATTCATTTTACTATTTTTTACACCAAATTCTATACAGGTATTTTCCAATCATTAACGGTGAAGGTCGGGAAAAATACAAAAAGTAAGAATTATTGTTACTAAAGTCCTTTTATCTCTGAGATTGAAATAAAGCACTTTATTAAAATGACCACCAATTTTTCAGCATTCAGAAAAGTATCAATTCAATATTCAGAGTGGACACAACTGGGTAACCATTCAATTTTGACCCCTAGTTCACTGGACTTATTTGTTGCTAATGACCTCTAGTATAACCCCTTTTAAGGAATAGGTCGAGTTTTCCTGTCACCCTGTATAACGCATATTAAATTAAATTCGAAAAGAATACACAAAAGAAAAAAATACCAGCCCGTCCCTTCTGCTGCCTCATCCGCGTGGATTGTTTTCTAGCAAAATCTTTCTTTACTTTAAAAACCTAGCAGTTAAATTCTTAAAAAATAAAAATATCCACCCAGAAGTAAAACAAAATTTGTGTGGTATTAGACCACGATGCAAGTAAAACATTTAAAGTGTTTTACATCGTCTCAAATTTTAAGAGTGGGGAGAAGGCATCCACCTGGAATACCTCTGGAGGCATTCGCCAATTCTCAGCTTGATGTCCCCTTAGGATCTCGCCGTCCCCAAATCCGGTGACGCTGTAAAGGTCATCTGCAACCAACAGCATAGATACACACTCAAAAAAAAAGCCTAGCCTGACCCAATCCCCGTGCATCCTTGGGACCTTACTCACCAACAGAAACACAACACCACCATAATTTTACTGTGATCTTCTAAGATAGAATTTACTTCCCTAGACAGGGGCTCGAATTCGACAGGAAATCTACTATGCCCTTATACGGTCTCATCACCTCACATATACTGAGCTGACATAGAGACCTATTTGGGCCGCGCGTCATAATTGTAAATTTTATTGATCATCATCATCATATCAGCCGTACGACGCCCACTGCTGGACATAGGCCTCCCCCAAGGATCTCCACAACGATCGGTCCTGCGCTGCCCGCATCCAGCGTTTTCCCGAGACCTTCACCGGATCGTCGGTCCACCTTGTAGCGGGTCTTCCCACTGAGCGTCGTCTGGCACGCGGTCGCCATTCGAGAACCTTTCCGCCCCAACGGCCATCGGTTCTCCTTGCTATGTGTCCCGCCCACTGCCACTTCAGCTGGGCTATTCTTCGAGCTATGTCGGTGACTTTAGTTCTCCTACGGATCTCGTCATTTCTGACTCGATCACGCAGGGAAACACCAAGCATAGCTCTCTCCATTGCCCGCTGGGCGACCTTGAGCCGTCCTATGAGACCCATAGTAAACGACCACGCCTCACTGCCATAGGTCATCACTGGCAACACACACTGGTTAAATTTATTGATATAATATATTAATTACACGAGTACGTTGGGATGAGGAGCTCGATGGCGCGGATGATTAGCGCGTTTGGCTGCGATGGTTGAAATAAGCAATCGTAAGCAAATTTCGCAGTAGTCGGTTATTGGATGGGTGACCAAAAATTTTCTATCTCGAGTTCCTCCGTGCTTCGTAAGGCATGTTAGGCTGTTGGTCCCGGCTGCATCTGCAGTCGTTATATCTGCTGATATACGGAGCATCTGCTAATCCACACTGGGCCCGCGTGGTGGGTCATGGCCCAATCTCCCTATTCCATCCATAGAGAAGGCGTGTGCCCCAGCAGTGGGGACATTAATAGGCTGATGATGATGACGATGATGACATGAGTACGTAAAGAGCAAGCATTCGAAACAGTCAGGCAAAGAATCCACTTACTAACTATTTTATCTGTATTTCATTCAGCTGCAATAAATATTCAAATTTAACTTTGGTGACTATTTGCCTGCGTACTACAAAGAAATATCATCTTGACAACATCTAAACGGTGTACGCGGTCACACTGGCTCGTACAACCCTAACTCTCTTAAATCTTTATTTGCTTATTTCTAATAGGGACCATATTGGTATTTGGCTAATATGAATATTCGCAAAAAAATCCATGAAAAAATCATATACTCGCACATCCCACATACATACATATTGGTGCCAATTCTGGCGTGATTCTCTAAACTTAAAACTAAATTTAACTTCAGTCTCTCCTTTTCATTCTGTATAGACAATATAAGGATATACTGCTGTCTAATTTATGTTTAGGTTTAGAGAATCATGCTAGAATCGACACCATTCCATCCCTAACTTTCAGTTGATCAGTTTTTGGAAAACACAGATGATCAGATACGCGGTTACCACTGCATCAACTTAATTTTCTGTTACTTGATAATAACTCATTGAAACTGGCGGCTTTACGATTAATAATTTCATACCTTTATATATGTACAAAGTTTCATTTCCTTTATAACACTTCTGTCAAAGGTCTTTTATTTTGAATTTATGGTAATGTTGTTCAAAACTAACGTGACGCGTTTATGTCCCTGAATTGATTTAAATAATTTTTTGTATAAAGATAAAGGGAACAAAGGATAAACTTATAGGTCACATTTTCTTGCGAAAATCGAAGTCAAAAGGTGTGGAATACGGTGAGAGTTTTTATGGAAAATAGGGGTATGATGACGGGGTAGAGAAAACGAAATTATAATAAATCCGTCACTTTGATTATAAAAAAAAAATAGATATTTATCATAATTTTATCATATTTAATAGACATTTATTTTTTATTTTGTCAATTAACCATAAAAATTAGAAAAATAAAGCGCGGCAAAGTTTGGGAGCGGCGGCTCGTGTCGTCACTTCTAAGTAAAAATTGTACCTAGGCGTGACATGACATCATGCGACATCACAAAACAATATACATCAGTAATGTTTTTAGATAGGTCCGACTAAGACTCCATTCCACCTGATGTAAAGTGATTTTATTATTTCCTCTCTATCATATTTATTATATTAATAAACTGCGTGGTCGAGTAGTTTGTACGCCATGTTTCATGGTGTCGCCGATTCGAGAGGTCCCGGGTTCGAATCCCGTTGGGGCAGATGTTTGTGTAATGAATACGAGCACTAGTACTCCAGTCATGGATGTTTCATATGTATTTATATATAACTACCCTTATACGTGGGACATTCAGAAAGTTTTGAGAAACTAAAAAACTAAGTTCTATGAAAAAAATATTTTTATTAAATCATTTCAAAGAACTCCCCACCAGCCTCTATACAAAGTTTCATGCGTCTGAACCAATTATTATCAAAACATTTTTTCCAGTCCTCCGCAGACACCTGTTCCATGGCCTTCTCAAACGCTGCTAGCGCTTCTTCCGGCGATGAAAACTGTATCCCTTTGAGCTGATTTTTTTATTTTAGGGAATAAAAAGAAGTCACACGGAGCCAAATCAGGACTGTAAGGAGGGTGTCCCAAGACTCTGACTGGTGTGGAGTCCAGGAAGTCCTTCGTTTTGATCGCAGAGTGCGCGGGCGCGTTGTCGTGGTGAAGAAGGACCCCGCTTGTTGCTCATTGCAGAAAAATCTTCTGGCAGGCATTTTGTGCTATACCATTCGGCGTTGATGCTGCTTTTGTCTCGATGAGGAATTGAAATTAGGTACCCAGTCAAAGTGAAGAAACTAGCGATCAAAATTTTCCCTGCGCTCCTCGATCGCTTCACTTTCGTAAGTTTTGGTTCATTTTGAAACAGCCAAACTGTCGACTGACGCTTCGTCACAATATCGTAAACGCGCCGTGACAATCCTGCATCAAATTTTTGTATCATATCACTGCATCAACCCACACGGGCCTGCTTCTCAGCTTCGGTGAGGTTGTGCGGCACCCAGCGGGAAACTGTCGTCCTAACGCAAAGGTGCTCGTGCAAAATCTTGTGAACACTTCCTGTACCAATCTGCAAAGTATGTTGAATCTCTTCGTACGTAATTCATCTGTTTTCTTGAATTATTTTTTTTACTGCCAGCACATGTTCTACAATGACAGCCGTCGTAGGACGACCACTCCTCTGTTCATCCCCCAAAGTAAGACGACCGCGTTTGAACTCGCTACACCAAAGGTAGATGGTTGCTTTTGAAAGTCCTTCATCCATAAAAGCAGTTTGAAATCGATCAAATGACTCATCAGGTTTTAACACACAGTTAAAATCGTAAAAAATCATAGCACGAAAATGTTCTCGATGCAGATCCATTTTTTAATGAGACAAGAAAAATTTAATTGCCTCTCGAAGAAATGCGGACGGAAATTTGAAAATCGAAACGAAAGTTTTCAAAATAATTACAAATGGCCAGTGTCTTATACATAAAAACTTTTTTTCGCAAAACTTTCTGTCTGGGCTGATATATGTGTATCGGTATATGTATTATAGCCGTTACCCTAGTATCCTATAACATAAGCCTACAGTGCTTACTTTTGGGGCTAGGCTAATGGGTGTGAGTGTTGGAAATATTATTTATTTTGATCTGTATATATTCTTCATTATACTTCATCATCAATCTCTGCAAAGGCACAGGCCTTCCCTATGGATGGAAAAGAGATACTGGGCCATGACCCGCCACACGAACCCAGTGTGGATTGGTGTATGCTTACGACTGCAGATGCACTCGGGACCCAAAGGCTTGTGCCTTCCGAACCACCAAAGAGCTCGACATAATAAGTTACTAGGTCACCTATCCAATACGCTAACCACCTGCGCCTTCGAGATCCTCAAGTTATAGGTCTGCTGTAGGTACTAGGTACATATGGGCAGCTGCAATATGTAAATATCCCGGATAAAATTAAGCCTGTAGGTAAATTAATTGCCTACGTGATTGCAAAATACTGTCATTAAATTAACGTTCTACCCTTTTATAAGCGTGAAAGGTCAATTGTAACTACATATTTCCGTACTTTGATATTATTATTTTATGTCAAGAAATTGTAAGTAGATAACAAAAAACAGGAAATATTAGTTAACAGGAATAATAAGTTTATGAAACAGTTTTGTTTACCTGATTTAAGGATTCTTTGGTATAGGGGTGAACGCGTTTGGCCTGTGTTTGTTGAAGTAAAGTACTCTTCGTAATGACTGGTCATAAGATGGGAAACCAAATATTAAGGGAGGAAGGAAGGCATATTAAGCCGTTGGTCCCTGCTGCATGTGCAGTAGTTAGTATCCACCTTCTGACCTGCTGAGTTATGACCCCTTTTCTCTATAGTCTCAATAATAGAAAGGTAGACCTGTGTCCCAATAATGAAGACATTAATAGGCTGATGATGAGGAAATGCTTAAAATATTTCGTCCTAGCTGTAGTGTTTACTTATAAAGAAAAAAGGCAGTACGAATTTGGAATGACTTGCCCCCCAATATACGTAAAGCTCCTAAAAAACTTGCATTTAGGGGATTGGTTCATGAGCACTATTTCAATAGTATCAAACAGCGTTCTCATATTTGACTGACATAATCGTATACTTATGTATGTATGTGTGTATATATATGTATATGTAAAAAACATATACATATATATACACACATACATAAGTAGACCAAGGATGGTCTATCTTACATTTTTCTATATTGCGCCCCCGTCATATATGTTTTTTTTCTCGCTCTTACTGGTCGACTGGTAGAGAATACCTTATGGCATTATGTCCGCCATTTGCTTTGTTATTTTGCAATAAAAAGCAGTCATGAGAAAGGGCCCGTTCCGTTAATTGATAGATCTGAATTGATTTAATTATATGACCTTCTTAATCTTTGTACCAGTAATGTTGGGGTGCGCACGAGCCGATATGGCGGGTGAATGCGACCTGGCCGGCTTCTACACTGAGCTGGGGTGTACGCCCACCCCTAGTGGGGACAACTCCACCCTCTGTCCGGACTCATTCACCTGCCCCGAGCTGCATCCGGACCCGGCTATGTGTTATTACAGGTAACTTGCTTTGATTAGTTTTTATCTGATAAATGTTTAACTTACGTAGGTTCGAGGAAATTACTACACCTGATGTTAAGTAGCGGTAGAGTCTAGGTAGTGTTTCCTAACCTTTCCAATACTGCTACCCCTGTAACCTATTAGGAAATCAGATTTTACCCCGACTTTAAAATGTTATCATCAATCCAAGAAATTCCAATTTGGCCGCTATCTTCGTCTCTACTAATGTCATTATCCGGAGAAAATTCACCATGCGCTTCCCACACTCAGCACCCCGCGGGCTCACTAGCAAGAAGGGGCGAATTCTCTATTTAGTAGTATTATTTAGATTTGACCAAATAATTAGGTTTACTCCCGAAGTATGGCTGTTTTACCCCCGGAGGGGTAATTACCCCCAGGTTCGGAACCCAGGGTCTAGAGGCAAAGGTAGCTGGAGCAGGAGTTTTTCACGCCTCCTTTAAGGGTTGTAGGAAGGAAGGAACGCGCGCCGGCAAGATATTCCATTTGTGGATACTGCGATAAAGAAATTAGTATTTTTTTTTGTCTAAAAGTATGTCTCCGGGCGGGGACAATTAACTCTGCCCTCTGTCCCGGAGTCCGGACTCATTCACCTGCCAGGAGTTATATTCTTTCTTCATTTTATTTCCGTCAAACGAGGATAACTTCTTGCTATGTGAGGATTCGATCGGCAACTCGTAGCAACATCCCGACCGCGATAAGTTTTTTTGTGTGTTTTTTATGTTATCATTATTGCGATATGTTATCGGCAAGGCAAATTTCAAAACTTAAACTTAAATAGATAGATTTTTAAAAATCTGTTAAAATTCGCGTGAATTGTAGTGATAAAAATGCGTCAGGAAAATATGTACTGCATCAGCTTTACTCGTATACGAGAGGAAACAAAGAAAGATTAGGAGAAATAAATGAGGACTGAATGTGGTAAAAATGGTTTCTAAATATTTATTAAAATTAAATAATATATAAAAAAAAATAACAAATTATCGTGTCATATTTAGTGAAGTTTGTTTAACAATATCTACAAGCAATTCCTGTGAGCATTAGTTACAATAATAGTTTCAATCAAAATCTGCGATAAATTTCTACTGAGGAGGGAATCAATGCGCATCATTGCCAAAAATAAAATCTTACAAAATAGTACTATTGATGCAATCTTGTTATAAATTATGTAGTTATTGGATGGGAGACCTCGATAAAAACGTTGACTTTTTTAAATATTCTCAATATTTAGCGATTTATCTTTAGCCTGTCCGCCGCCTTGACCTCGCGTTCCAAGAAACGTCCAATGTTTTTGCGACCGTGTTAACAAGAGCACAAGCAAAAAGGAGCAGAGTGTACTTCCCACCCAGCGTGACCGCTTCACATCACTCGACCTTCTAGCTTCTTACGACAATGTCCGATTGGGAAATCTCAGTCTCTGTTGACTTATTAATACCTACTGCTGATAATATATTTTCGTTATACATTTTAATAAAATATAGCTAAATCCTGAAAATAAAAACAAAGTAAAGAAAAAAACATAGCCTGAATTATCATAGCTTTTTTTTAATAGCTATGTATGTATTGACATTATAATCAATTACAAAATGAACAAAGAAAACAATTAATTAACTCAATCAATTTTTACTAAAAAATCAATGAAAGTAATCTTATAACTATGCAATATTAGCCATTCTTAAACTGAAAGGCAGCGCCATCTCTTCGCATTATAGGTAACCCACAATGTCAAATGAATACTTTTACAAGTATTAAACATTTGAAAGAAGAAATAGCAATTATAGTTATAACTCTTCGCATTATAGGTATAATATATATTTTTTTCTAGTTATATTTTCTTTAGATTTAAACATCAAGCAGTTACATGTTTTAAAATAATAAAAAATATAACTATGCAATATTAATTGTAAAAAAAGACTTAATCTTTTTGCATTAATAGGTGAAAAAGTACTTTAAACTTTAATATTGCCAATGTGATCACGAGGCTGTATGCTTGATTGCCTTCTAGATATTATATTGTAACACAGTATTTTATTAAATATAGAACTTTTCGATTGTTTCGCAGTCAGGAAAAAACGTAGACCTAGTTTCTTTTACAAAAATATCTTTATTATCTCGGTGAACGTTCGTTGTTAAGAAACTCTTTTATGATTCATTATTTTCAGCTTCAATATTCACAAATTGCACAATAGAAATCTATGAAACTCCCACCTTGTATTTTTTACCGGCTGCATCAGCAGTCGTTGGCGTCCACCAATCCGCACTGCGCCCGCGTGGTGGATCATGGTCCATTCTCATTTGGTTATCCATAGGGAAGACTTGTACCCCAACACAAAACTAAGGAAATGACCAGTTTTAGGATGGGTGACCAAATATTAAGAGAGGAACTAATGTACGTAAAGCGTTTAGTCCCAGCTGCACCTGTTGGTCTATCTTCTCTCTCTGTCAATAGGTAGGATGATGATGTGGGTGCGTAGTCAGCTTCTTTTAGGGTGCCACGTCACTACCTACACTAGTGCAATCCCGGTACGCATTAGGTAGACCGCGGTCCACATAGTTCGTGTCTGGTGACCGGTGCAGGGGTATTATACGTTTTTTTTATAGATACTTATGTCCGACAAATGACTCCACCTCACCTGATGTTAAGTGAAGGTGAAATCCAGACGCGAAGATAGCTGATACAGCAGTTCTAACTGCCACACCAGCCATCCTCACCCTGCCGGCCTGCATGTTGCTTCTTCTTCTCTTTTAAAGGATCCCAGGTTGTAAGAGGGAGGGAACACGTGAGCGGGCAGAGCATTCCATTTACGGATAGTGCGACAAAGAAATGGTTTTTACTGGGTAGGGTCCTGCTCCTTTCACCGAGCCTCTGAGGAGTCTTCAGATACCCTCAGATAGGCCTCAGAAAAAGTAGGACGATGATGATCTTTTCACAGTCACAACTGCATATGTTAACAATTCCAGGGGCATAGCGTACAGCGACAAGTCCACCATACCGCAGAACCTCATCAACAACCCGTGCTCGCAAGCGTGTAGCTGCCAAGTGGCTAGTAGCGGCGGTCCCAGGTTCGAGTGTGCGGCAGTCGACTGCGTGGAAGTGTTCGACAGCGACCTGCGGCAGTGCGTCAGCACTTATGATCTGGAAGCATGTTGCAGCACTGGCAATGTTTGCGGTAAGACGATAATATTTTAAGTCGTACTAAAGTGCGTCAATGAAATTAACTATTACCAAATGTAAACAAAATATTTATGAATTTAACTATTAACAAATTAATAAAAATCGATAATACCTAGTTACTTTTCTTGCTACAAAAGAGTAATGCAATACAATTAATGAGACAACAAGTAAATTAAATTTATTTGACGCCTCACTTGTTAATGGCACAATAGAAGATTTCTTTGCGGTATCATAGTTAGTCAACGCATTTTTGAGTCAACGCTCTTGTATCAGAATCACATAACTGCTATTAAAGATTCCTTTAAAGATAGAAGAATCAACAGTCATTTTAATAGGATACAAAGATGATCTATTGTTCTTTGTTTATCAGCTACTTGAGCGTTAATTATCGTTTCATACTGCGTCGAAATCATAGCTGACATGGAAGGGGAATGATTTATTCAGATTTATAATGATCAACTCGTCTGCAATATGGGCGAATCTTGCATAAGATAATAAGATTTTTTATGGTCAAAGTGCCACCGTTATATTTTAATGCAAATCATAAATTTGACATAATTCTTGATGTTCAGTACCCTGGCACGAAGCATTATCGAATTCGAAGAATACTTTGCGAGTGCGAAATGTCAAATTTTGTATGGAAACTTGAACAGCAGCGCCACAAAGTACGTAACGAGAACTAAAAATCAGTACACATTTGACAATGACATTTCTGACTCGCAAACGTTACGAATTTGATATTGGTTCGTCCTAAGGGTACCGTAACTTATTCAGGCACCGTGGTTGTAAGACTGAGATGATGACTGATTAATAGTTATTTAAGCAACTGCTGTTTAATGAGGGCTCCGTTTCGCCGCACAAACATGATTATTCACATTCGTGTTTTAATACCTAATTATAACAGATGCATACAAGACTTTATCTACACCCATGATATGAATTCTATACATAAGATTCTGAAAGTTACAAAAATTCATGAAAAGTTTCGGCGCTGTGTTCTTTGTTTTTATAATACCACGCATCGAGAAGTGAAAATTGTGGCTGTCTAGCGAAGGAGTGTTATTATGAAGTTTAGTGCAACATTATAACACCCGTTTGGGTGTTATAATGTTTCTTTTTATTATGTCATTAGATGTTTATATGTTGGCAATAAGCTAACTGTTTCAGAATCTTTAATCGAGGTTTTAACGCATGGGTGTAGATAAAACTATTTTATAAAAAAGGTTTTTTCCTAATAATTGGTATGAGTGTAAATATAAGAAACATTCATGTTAAATTTTCAATTATTTTAAATTGGTTTCAAATAGACGTTCGTAATATGGCATAGTTAATGGTACAGACGCCTAGAAATACATCCAAGACACCTGTGACCCTACGAACTTTGAAAGATCCGTAATCGTATCGTCATCGTCAAATTTTGTATAGCAGGAGTTAGTTAGTTCTAACATCCGGTAGAGGCGCTGCTCAGTTTAATAGACACTTTGGCGATGAGTTACTATTACAGAGCTAAGGGTTACACCTTAGCACGAACCAATATCGATTTCGTATCGTTTGCGAGTACGAAATGTCATTGTCAAATTTTGTATGGAAACTTGAACAGCAGCGCTACAACGGACGTAACGAGAACTAAACATCAGTATACATTTGACAATGACATTTCGTACTTGCAAACTATTCGAATTCGATATTAGTATGTGCTAAGGGTACTGTCAAAGTTTGTGGGCCTCTGTAGAATAATGATCCACACAGTTATCTTACTCACCTCAATAAAACATTTTCATCTTGTTCACTAGAATAACAGAAATACTGTCTCCTGTTAGGTTAGGCGAGCGAACAAAAAATCTTCAATGTGTATTGTAAACAACTTACCTAAGTTTGCTTAATGAACCCTTACACAGTCGATAAAGTTTGGTTGGTTTCAATTGCGATTGGTTCAGGATCAGTTTAATGGGTGTAATTAAATGAAATGGAGTTAAATGAATTAGGTTAGGTTAGGTTATTAACAGCTTTGGGATCATTACCCAATGATACGTTAGTAAATAAAACGACGTATCACATTTTCTTTAACACTCCATTTGTATAAATAAGTAACGTCTTGTTACCTAATGCGGTGCAATATTTTTTTTGTTCAGGTAACGACGCAATAGCTAACTTGAAGACTTGCGAAGTGGACGGCAAGAGTTATCGCGAGGGGGAGTCATTTGAGCCCAAGAACACGCACAAGACCTGCATCTGCACTGCAGGATGGGACGGGTCGACGGACAACCCTTCGGTCTGTCGGGACATCAACTGCGGCATCGAAATCCACTATCAGAACAAGCTGTTGGACAACTGCGCGCCTGTATTCGTGGGCAACAAGAAGAGTTGCCCTATTAGCTTTGCTTGCCGTAAGTTGTTTTACTGATTTTTTCCTAATTACAAAACTACTTGGTAAATTGAGCCCAAAAACACACGACATGCATCTGTACTGCCGATTGGGACGGGTCGACAGACAACGCGTCGATCTGTCGCGAAATTAACTGCGGCATCGAAATCCACTAACAGAACTAGCTGTTGGAAAATTACTGCGCACCTGTATTCGTAGCTAACAAGAAGAGTTGCTATTAGCTATGCTCGCCGTAAGTGCAGCATCGAAATCCAATATCAGAATAAGCTTGTGGACAACTTTGCGCCTGTATTCGTGGGCAACAAGAAGAGCTGCCCAATTGGCTTTGATTGCCGTAAGAAGTTTTACAGAATTTTTACTAATTACAAAACTACTAGGTAAAAACTGTAATCATGGAGCTCAATGTCGTAAGTGGTTAGTGCTTTCGAGTGCAATCGTTGATTTAAGCAAATTTCGCAGTGGTCGGTGATAGACTGTGCACCCATCCAGAAAGGCACGTTATGCCGTTGGTCCCGGCTGCATCTGCAGTCGTTAGAATCCATCAATCCACACTGGGCCCGCATCTGGGTCATGTCTCCCTATTCCATCCATAAGGAAGGCCTGTGCCCCAGCAGTGGGGACATTAATAGGCTGATAATGATGAGGTGTTTTTTTCGCAGCGTCAGAAACAACAAAGATCGTCCGCGGGGTGAACTTGCGCGGCATAAACGCTCAGTGTGTGTTCGGTAACACCACCCTGGGGGTCGGCGATGAGGTGACTGTAGACGAGCGCTGCACCACCTGCTCCTGCGAAGTGCCACCCTTCGTATCTTGCACCATGAAGGCCGCTTGTAATTAGACATGTTAAGCTGATACAGTCAATATGGATAACGTAAATAAGCGGACCTGATAGATGTTGCCCTGCCCTAAATTTCTACAAAGTATGAAGATTAAAAGGCCTTTATAATCTGATGCTTAGAGCACCAGCTACACTCATCTAATCGATAATAATTATGGTAATCCCTGTGAATCTCTGATAGGTGGTAATGGATCTGCATCTTCTATCGCATTTATCACGGGGAGTGTTCTGAGGAATTGTTCGGATTAATTCCAGCTGCTGCATTTCGCCATCGTACATCGCGACAAAAATTACATCCCCATCATCTTGATGCGTGGCTATCCACAACCGTGCGTTTTTGTCGAAATTTTTTACCACGTACTACAAAACTGTGGAATATGTTGTCGCCAGCAGTGTTTCCGGAAAAAATGGAGGAGGGAAAATCTTCCCCTGGCAAGTGCTCGAAATGGGATTGAGCGGGGTTAACTTGCGCAGCATATTCGCGCAGTGTGCTTTCGGTAACACTACCCTGGGGGTCGGCGATGAGGTGACTGTTGATGAACGCTGAACCACCTGTTCTGCGAAGTGCCACCCTTCGTATCTTGCATCATGAAGGCCGCTTGTAATTAGACATGTTAAGCTATACAGTCAGGCGTCGCCCTTTTTAGCAACGATCGTACGATGACACGATACAATCTCATGGTACGATGAAAATAATGGACCTGTGCTCGTGTGAAGGCTTACGAGCTGTATAGGTTAATTCTGAAGAAATCTGTATGTTTGAAAATCATCGTACGACAAAAACGCATCGTGTCATCGTTGTCATTAGGACGACGCCTCAAATTATGGATATCATAAATGGGCGGACCAGAGAGACGTAGCCCTGCCCTAAATGTCTAAAAAGTAGGTATAAGGAAACTTAAAAGAAAAGGTTGGATAAAATTTTGGTAAAGCGTTCTCAAGTAATGTTCTGACCAAGGAAATAGAGATTCATTTATATGTAAATTGAAACTATGTAAGGCCTTTTTACCTGATGTTAAATGTATCTCACCAGCCACAACTTACTTTACCGATTTTAAGCCTATGAATATCTGTTAGGTGACAACCAAATGAGACATTTCTTTCCCTGGGCATGCGCTCGAAATGGATTTTGAGTGGAAAAACAGCGGGGATGCAACAAATCGCACCTTTATTCCAATACTGTCATTAAACAAAATTCTTCAAAAAATAGTTTACAACGCCATCTATTTGCTACGTTATGAATCTACACATTACTTCAAATCCTGTATTTTAATTTTATTTTATGATAATGACAGTATTGAAATAAAGGTGCGAAATGTAAATCAATCAAATTATAGTAAATACGGATCAATAAATGTATAGAGAAAGTGGGTCCATGGAAAAAAGGTAATATTTTAAGCTTATAAGGGCACATGGTTCATTGTTATAATGACACAAAAAGGCCGCATGTATGCCATGCATGTATATTATTAAATATTTTTTCGTTTACTACTCATTAATTATATTTATTTTGTATTACTCACAAATTATGCATTTTGTCGTGTCTTAGTTACGGAATCACTGAATTACCTACTTAAATAATTTTATAGGTATAAGCATTGTAATTTATATTGTTAATTGAGATTTATTGATATTATTTGAATAGTAATTTTAAGTTGTTATTGAGAAAACTGTGATTTATCATCTCGAATTGTTTACTGGAAATTGTTTTATATCGAAATAATATTTTACTAGGAAATTAAGGTTTATGAAATACCTAGATATTTTTACAAGGTTATTCGAACTCTATTTAAAAAGTAAAATAAAAATAATTATATTCAGACATGACTGTACAATATACATTGTTCTAATTCAATCCTTCTGTATTTATAGCGACTTTATTAAAAGTTTGACGTGATTTCAACCATATCACATAATATATAAGGACCGATATAAAACGATACACACTTTACGCCTATTAATCAAGTATTAATGAGTTGTGATTATGTCGTCGAGTATGTTTCCAGGGCACCACGGGGTAGGGGATTGGTTCAGGGTGGGCTACGGTGTGAGTGACTTTTGTTAGTTGTTTGTATCGCAAGCGTCTACAGGCTATGTTAGCCGCTTACCAACAGGCGGGCCACACGTTTAACATAAAAGAGTAAAGGCATTCATACAAGCATTTTTATTTACGAGAATAAAGGGTAGGTGTATGCAGGCGCGGTCCGAAGGGGGAGGGGGGTCACAGAGGACATGACCCTCCCCCCAAAATCTAATGTCAAATTGAAAAATCTCAAAAATAATAAAAGGAAATTTCTAGCTATCCCCTAACAGCGATAAATTTATAGTTTGTTGACATTTAGTGGTGTTTTTATGAACTACGTACGATGGCCAAAATAACTTGGAAATGACATCTAGTACTAGTTTAGAAACAAGAAACCGAACTATGTAGTTTTTGTAATCCTAGCAAAATCGATATCCGTCGTTAAGATAAAGATTGTATTACAATATTTAATAAGTAATGTATAAACTAAATTGTGTCTTGTGCAATAATGTTTATTTTATTCCAGATACCTATTTTTTATTAGTGTAGTGAGTGACCCCCTCCAAAATTTCAGGCTGCGACCGCGCGTATATGGGGAGATTTCACAATTGGTTATGTACAACATTAGATATTGTAAGCCCTCGTTTAGACCTAGAGACAAGTCCTATACTAGTTTTACACAAAACTTGTAGAATACTTGTTGAGACATTCCTTCGTTTACACCGCATAGACAACGAGTATTTTAACAAGTATTTATTTCATATATTTTGTGTATTACGATATTAAACGATATTAAATACACTAGATACACCAACACGAACAAAATCGTGCCCGAAACCTGTCCAAAAGGTACATTGAATGATCCACGGAGCTCTGTAAGATGATCGCGTAGTCAAAATCAACATAAGGCATTATATAAATATTGAAAGTAACCTTTAATACAAACTTTATAAGGTCTTAAATAAAACGCATGCGTCAAGGACTTCTGGCAGTTCGAAATGCAAGCTCGTAAAATTTTACGACTTATTGCTATTAACGGAAGAATTAAGACCTTAGTTCTTTGACTCTACGCGCAATTCTGAACGCGCTGTTAGCAATATAGCAGGCACGGACCGCGAGGAAAAGAAACGGCTATATGGCGACGTTTAACCGACCATGCATTTGAATATCACAAATATTTTATATTAAATCAGTTTATAGTAAGTATTAGATCAAAATTTACTTCAAATGCGTTAAATTAACAAAAATTGACTAGATACCTGTCGCAAAAAATGACACTTTTCGTACTCTAAGTATTATTTTCGCATTTTTTCACGGAGCTCTGTGGCATCTTGACTTTGTAACGGTCCGCGCGTGACTGTGAACCAAGAAGTGCTTGAGTGGAGTTCAAGCACTTCTTGATTGGGGCACATTTTGAGCGCTCGTGGTGTATCTAGGGTATTTAATATCGTTGGTATCCAACAAGTTTGTTTGCAAGTATTGTATACTACATGTTTTACACATGTATATAAGAGTGAACAAAAAATTAAGACATTGTATAATATTTATTATATACATGTATTATACCTTGGTGAAAACGAGGGATAGCAGATATATATATTTAATTACCCACATTATAAACTAGGAATTAGGTAACCGTACAAATTGACGGCTAATGTTTTTATATGGGTCTCAAATAAAATATCATGTGGCTCTTTGATTAAATTCTTTACTAAACTCATTGTAAAATCAGTATTATATTGTAAATAAACATACACATTAAGAAGATTATAATATTGCACTTAAATTGTACTTAAACATCTAAACTTTTAAGTCTAAATTATGCATGGCAGTTTTAAGTCTTAGCTAAGGATATATTTACATTATGTACAAAGTACACAGCCTTTTGGAACCTTGTAACTTATTAAGTAAATTTGTGACGACTCTTAGAGCTAAGTATACTTAATTAAGTTTTACGAGTTAACGATACCTTTTGTCAATAAATGCTTGAAAATAACACAAGTTTTTTTCTTAATAAACTAAGTTGGTTTAATCACAATTGAATTAATTAACATAATTAAGGTTAAAATTATTTGAAACTAAAGTTATAACAAGATATTACTTAACTCACTATATTGACTGTTCTTTCTCCTTATTACCTACATACTAATTTGAATTGTAATCACTTAAGTAAATGCAAAAAGTACCTAATTTAGTTAGTTTAAGTATTTAATCTTTAAAAAACATTCATTTCGAATGTCGATAATACTTCTTTCAATAATATCTACATTTTGTTAACTAGAATCTACTTTGGTAACTTCTAAAAATACTCGTTTCTTAAAATTAACATGGCAGTGATTTTAGTGGCATTACTACTCTTAGATTAAAGTGTACTGTAACTTTAAATTGAAAATATTCATTTTTATAAAATATCTTATACTCGTATTCGGAATATTTTATATGTAGACTCAAAGTATTTATTCCATTTAGGTTTATCATCCGCAGTTTTGCTCTAGTGGCTATATCTTTCATCCCCCTTTTTAATGCATCAAGGGAAGAATGAGGTCAGTTATCAAGATAGAAACTGCTTATCTTATAAATTTGTCCAAGATTGTTTAAAGTAAGTTCTGAGTTTCTTCAGGACAAACAATGACACGAGGTTATTTATTTATATATTAGTAAATTGGATGATACAAATTTTAAATTCCACCTTTCAATATTTTCAAGCTATTTATTGAACTGAAAGTAGGTACTTAATAAGTATTGTTTTTTTAAGCGAAAACTCCCTACCCCCATCCCCATTCATTCCAGAGTCCAATGAACATATATATTGAAATGGTTATAACTACGAGTATACTTAAAAATTCAATAAAATGCTTCAAGTATTGCTTTAATAATAAAAAATAAACCAACTCAGATAGGTAGATATAGTTGATTGATGTAGCTTGAATGGAAATGGAAAAATGGAAATAAAAAAAATCATTTAAAGATAATGGTAGTTCAGTAGACTCTTAACAAAACAAGGTACTGTAGCGTGTTCATATCACACATAAATATGTGAAATACATTCAAAAATTATTATTTAATTTTTTTCTGTCAACAAAACGCATTGAAATTGATAACACGTTTCTGTAACCGGCACACGCTTCGAAAAGTTAATACAATACTAGGAAACCTCTCCCAATTTCTATTCTGAAAACAGTTGTTGAAATAACAATATTCTAGTTACGCCGTAATTCAAATAAATGAGACTTTATTGAGGCTTCTAACTTCGTATCATCATAATAATATAATTTGAAGTTCGACTCATAAAGCTCTGTATTCTATTTCAAAGCAATTCCTTTTCCACAATATATTAAATCAGGTTCCTAGGTACGCTGAAAAGATTCTCAGAGGATGTTTGCTTAAATCACTTGTTTATTTCTTCTGGCGGCTCGTTGTCTAACTTAATAACTCTTTCCAAAATCCCCTTCAAAGTACACTTTCCCAAAATATGAAATAAATGGGTTCTCAGAATGAGTAAAAGTTACACAATTGAGTTTCTGCACGTCAATTCTGTATAATGCAATCTCACTTTGGATACTGTTATTTCGAATTTGCTGACAGTTAAATATAACCGGCTGCTTCAACAATCTGCGTAGATTTATATATTTATTTATTGCATTTTTAACCGAGGACTTACATCAATAACCGAAAGCGTTCTGCGGTGCAAATAAAATACAAAGATATTTAAGTATCGAATCGTGTCAATTGTGACACGATTCTCTAAACCTAAACTTAAATTTGACAACAGCGTATCCTTTTTTTCATTCTCTATACGGAATGAAAAGGAGAGATTGATGTCAAATTTAGTTTTAAGTTTAGAGAATCACGCCAGAATCGACACCAGTATCTAAATCGGACATATCGGACTCGGAAGTGAGATTTTATTTTTAAGAATAATCGGTTCTGATGCCTCTGACGTCTACTTGAAACAAGCGAGACCTATCTCCAGGCGGAACTGCTGGTTTGGTCTTCCGAGGTCCCTGATGGCCACGTCCATTAGCGGCAGCCGTCCCGACTTGTCCGTCGCAAACTCCACCACGGTGCGGGCCCAGGTATTCTTCTTGTACTATTTGGACACATAGATAAATATTAGAGGATTGTATTTGAAGGGTTTCCAGATTTATTTATTCATTTATTGTTCAATGACACCACTGAATGACAAATCTGAGGTGTCGTTTGAATTATTTTTGGGTAACCACATCACTGTTGAGTTATGATGTTAAATAAACATCATTTTCAAAAAGGCAAACAAGACCTGCACAAAAGATCGTCTATGTCATTTCATAATCTGACGAATGAAAAATAAAGATAACAGTATAGATGCATATATAATATCAATATATGCATTATTTTAGTATTAGAACCTCACTACGCGGTGCAGTCACCAAAAACAAATTGTAAATGATACCCCAGTGGTGCCGTCCAGTGTTGATGTTGAGAAAACATGGATTTTGTTACTATATCGAAGTAGGTAATGTTATGGCTATAAATAGATTCATTTATAGCTCTCGATAAATGTTAATCGAAATACATTGGTAAACAGGAACAGCATGACACATCCTCATTATCATTCATGTATTCATCCTGTTTCCTAAGCAATTCAGTGAGGTGAAGATTCTCGGAATTCGAATGATCCAAGTCGATTCAGGAAACCCAATACCTTTCTTGCGTGCTTGGAAAATATTAGGTATAATTAAAACATTGAAAGACGTCCATATACATTGATTATTCTAAATCAAATATCTGTATCATGAAAAACAGCCACATCAATTGTACCCGACTCGGGTCACCCGAGACACTCTGAGTTTCTGTCTCTAAGTAAGGTTCTAGGACTCCATGGGATAGAGTGTTAGGTAAGAGAAGGCATTATACGAGTGATGTTGTGGTATTACAAGCGTATATAGGACATGGTGGCCAATAACTCGTATCATCAGGCGGATCATTTCCTTGTTTTCTACCATCCAAACTAGGATCATAAATATGCCACCTCAATTAAAATAATATAAGAGAAGTAGGGCATACTAGGTTTTGAGCTCGTATTGGAGAGCTCGTCTGGGTAAGTAACTTACTAACACCTTACGAAGAAGGTCATAGTTAAATAACACTATCTTTGATAGCGTTGTGTTGGGGATGGAATCAGACCGACAAGGTGAGAATGGGTGGAGCGGCACTTGTTTCTCCTGCATCAACTATCTTTGCGCCCGGACTTCTTTCAGACTTTAAATCAGGTGGGGTGAGGCAATTTACAGCGCCTTGTATAAAAAAACAGGTTATGTTTAACCCAACCTAACAGAGCACTGTACCGCAGGTGAATGTTGGATTTCAGCAGATTGCAGCGTCGTTAAGGTAATCAGTTTGAGGTCGCAAATCAAAAACCACTAATATTCACCTGGCATTCGTCCAGCAGAGCGTAGTACCTTGGATGTTGGCCTTTAGTAGATTTCTGAGGCATTGTAGGCCATCAGTTTTAGGCCACGCCTGTAGTTTTTGGTCGCAAATCAAAAATCATTACTTTCCAGCAGGAATTCGTCCAGCAGAACGTTGTACCGCAGGCAATTATTAGCTTTCGGCGGGATCTCGGCGTCGTTGTAGGATAACAGTTTGAGGACTCGCTAGTAGTATTTGGTAGCCGAAATAGCCCACAAAATTGCTACAGTGCAGTATCACTTACAGTATTAGTTGCAAGTACGTTAGTTCGAGTGATCCGCTGAGGTATTAAAAAAAAATATTTTACCTGGCATTCGTAAACAGAGTGCTTCTACAACAAGGAAAAAGATAGCTTTGGCAAAATCTCGGTATTTATTTATTTATACTTTATTGCAAAACAAACAGCAATTGGCGGACATAATGCCATAAGGCATTCTCTACCAGTCGACTAGGCATGCGTCCGATATATCAAAACGAATCCAAAATCCGATTTCAAACGCAAATCGATACCGAACGATTTCTCAACAAGAAAATCCGATTTCAGAAATCTAACCGAACCAAAACCAAATACCACAAGTATCCAAATCTAAATCGGATTCGAAATTCGTGCTTTCGTTTTCGGAAGTCAGATTTCGTGCTCGGAACTCCGATTTCGATTTGCTGTTTACGGAAATCTATTGCTGTTCTCTGAGGCGGGATTATTTATCACTGAAAAGATATGTCGTCTAAAAACATCAAAAGTCGAGCAACTTACATTTTTGGACGCTAACCTGAAGTAATTAGGTTTGATTTTGTAAATGGTTTGAAAAATAATAAAAACAAACAGAATAACAAATAAAAATACTAAAAAATATGTAAAAAGAAATCATTGTATAAAAGCCGATTTTTAAATGCGCCGCAAAAGTTTTACTCTTAACCGTAAACATAACTTTTCTGCTAGTCCTAAGCCTAGATTTAAAGCATGAAGGAAAATCGCGAATATCTACGAGTATCCTTGCTTCCTACTATTAATTGTTTGTGATTGTCGTTAGCTAATAAAACCAAATCATAACACAAACTAGTGAATTGGCTAAGTTCAGCACATCTGAAATCGGATATCTAAAAACGGATTTTAAAATCGATTTTGAAATCTGAAATCCGATAAATATCCGTTTGCGTTCAAAACCAAAAACGCCCATGTCTACAGTCGACCAGTAAAAACGTGAGAACTAAAAATATTATATTATTGTATTGGTATTATTGTATACCAGCAGTTTCGGGCCGCGTCTGTTATTTTTAGTCGCCGGGTCGAAGTATCGACAGTGCAAACTCACGTTCTGGACCAGCCGCGTTGACATTAGTTGCATGTACGTCAGTTGTGAGTGGTCCGCTGGCGTATTAAAAATCATTGATTGTACCTTTACCTAGCATTCGTCCAGTAGAGTGTTGTATCGCAGGCGGTTGTTAGGTTCGGTAGGATCTTGGCATTGTTGTAAGCCAGCAGTTTGAGGCCAAGTCTGTAGTTTTTGGTCGCAAATAAAAAAAAACATTGATTTTCACCTGGCATTCGTCCAGCAGAGCGTTGTACCGCAGGCGATTGTTAGCTTTCGGCAGGATCTCGGCGTCATTGTAGGCCAACAGTTTGAGGCCTCGCCTGTAGTTTTTAGTCGCTGGGTCGAAGTAGCCCACAGTATTGCGGCAGTGCAATGTCACGTTCTGTATTGCTCGCGTAGACATCAGTTGCAAGTACGTCAGTTGTGAGTGATCCGCTTTGTATGTGAGCTGTAGATATATGGAGATTTGGGTTTAATTAATTATTTGTATGTCATCAGTTAAATCTTTGAATTTTAGCTTACTAACTGCACTTAATAACTTAACGTAATAACTTAATGTTACAGTATAATTAATTAAAACGTTTTCTACTTTTTATCACGGTGGAAGATTCCTCATTCACAAAACTCTGAGATTCAGGCATAGTTACAGAAAAAAAGATAATGATTATTGTGAGATGATGCAGTGGTTAATGCGGTCGGACCGAGATGTTACGCAAATTTATCGATGGGCAGCCATAGAATAGGTGACCAACATTCTTTGTTTTGAGTCTTTGCTTCTAAATAAACATTAGACCGTTGGTTCTAGCTGCATCTGCAGTCGCTAGCATCAACCAATCTGCATTGGGCCCGCATGATGGGATCCCTTATTCCGCCTAATTTTTAGGCCTGTACCGCAGCAGTGGATACATTAAGGCTCGTATTATAGAAATATTCTCAGTGTTTGAACTAGTCTTGAGCATAGTTAGAAAGGGATGTCGCTATATAAAGCACATAGCGACATCCCTTTCTAACTGTACTCAAGTAAAGATCAACACTTAGTTGTCATTCAGTAATACGGGCCGAAGAGGCTGGTGATGATGATATAAGAATTGTTTAATTTCAATGAACTTATATTTAGAATAGATATAAATTATCGAGGCTAACCGTAAATCCGTCTTCCATTTCGCTCAGCCAGACCTCTTTCTCCTTCCCTTTATAGACAATGTCTTTAGATGACATCGGCTTAGGATAAATGCAGCTGCTCCCAGACTCCATATCACAGTGTACGAGAATCGCGTCATTCATATCCCCGCCATTGGGATCAATCCAGTATTGACCTGAAACGCATCATTCAATAAGCAAAGATGGCTGTCATCAGTGACCTAAATACGTTTATTTTATATCGGAGGTTTAAAATCATTTTATACAGTTTCGTTGCCGAATTTTCAAAATTAATACCGTAGGTACTTAAACCTAATAGGGTATTTGACAGTATTAACAATAAAGTGCCAATTGTTAGCACATGTGTTGAGAATGAATATTGGCAGGTGAATTTACTATTTTTACAAAAAAAAAATTCATAATTTTACAAAAACTCACGAAAAAGATAATAGTTTTCTTATCTATTGTCACGTGAAACGCTTGGGATTGGCGGAGCCTAAAATGACGTCACACGCAAGTAAACTTCCGGTTAAAGTGACATTACATTGTATCGTTTGACGTTTTAATAACAGTCGTGTGACGTCACACACTAGTAAGACGCCATATTGTCCAGAGAAACGTTTTCGCGGCAACTTGAAAATGGAGTTTGTGATTTGATTATTTTTACTGAAATACACAACATAATGATGAATATCCACTTTTTACGGACTCCATAAACATTAGTCAATAACGTGACATCGTTTTCTAAAACTTGTCAAATACCCTATTGAGCGTGAGCGTTATCAAAATAATCTGGGGAAACGATGACACTTATGTCTTAATTTATTAACCAGTAGGCATTTGTAAATATATCACCCCAAATATCAGACAATTTCGTCGTTTGGTCAGTTAACCTTATAGTTTCTTATCTAACTTATGATAGCGAAACGATTCCGCCGTTTGGACGAAAATAGCTTAAACTTGGTCGTATTATCAGAAGGGAACTTTATAAACTTCCGTTATCGATAGAAAGCGATTATCTTCTTCATGAAAGTTCAAGAAAACAATAAGAAAACTTTAAGTATACCCGTTCTTTTAATTTTAATTTTCATTACAATGACTATTGTGATATATGTATAACAATAAACACAAAGCTTTACTCTGATCCCAATAACTATTGACGCTGATAAGATGTTATTACGTTTTTGACCATAATCGCCCAGGTTGTTGATCGGAGAAAAACACATACCACTTTCCAAATTGGGATGGTGATCTTTGATGTCCGCGCAGGTTTTGGCCGGGGCGTCCTTTGATCCGTCCGGCCTGAGAAACTTGTCCAGCGACACCTTCAGCCGTTCATAAGCCTTCATGACTACCTCTTTGCGTTCGGAGGCCGACATGTCGTCACGGAAGAACCTCGCTGGCATTTGGGAGTTGGGATCGTCGCCGAGCGGGTCCGGCCCTTTCACTGAACCTGCGTATAGAAGCAATTCAAAGTTATAACCAATTTTGAAAAAGTGTATTAGAGTGACTCCTTAAGATACTGTATGAAATAAATTGGGGAGAAAAAGTAGATCTTCCTAAGTTTCTTGTCGGCCGGTTCTTCTCAGCACAGGGTCATTGTAGACTTGCGTTCTGAAGAGCTTACCTATTACCTTATTACCTACTAACTCGAGTTTGAACATGTACCTTGTTGCAACATAGCAGCAATAGCGGCAGCATCGTAGGCCAGTCCTTCGCCCGGAGGTCCGGGTGGGCCGGGCTGACCCGCGGGCCCGGGTGATCCGTGCCGTCCCGCCTCGCCTGACGGGCCGCGTGGACCAATGGGACCAGGTGGGCCTTGCAAGCCCGGGCTACCGTCACGCCCTGGTGATCCTGGAATGAAGGAATAGACGGAGTTCGGAATAGCCAAATAGTGATGAGGTAATATTTTCAAGAAGTAATGACGTTCTAGATAGCCGATAATCGTGATAAGGAAATATTGAGAGTGGAATCACATTGTCCCAGGTCTAAAGTAACAGCGAAGGATTAATAACAAAAAAAAAAAATCTACGTAATAAAAAAAATATTTCATAAATTTAATAATATTTATTAGGTTGTATGAGTGTAGTCATATATGAATATGTTCCTCGTATGTGGAGTTAGGTGATATCTCTAGTCTACCTTTCTTCCAGTAACTAGCTTCTAAATATAAAATTTTACTTTGCAACACATTATGTCTTACACATAAAATTTGCTTGTTGCTTCATCTGACTTAGTTTTTGTTTCTCTTTATCAACATCATGGGCGTATCAACATGGCACAATGCTCACCCATAGAATCCTCTCTGCGCAATCTAAAGTTCGAGTGTTAAAAACTACTGTTTAAGTAATTAATTCAAATCAGAAATCAATATATCTTTATTCAAATTGGATGTTTAGTACAACTCTTTTGAATCTTCCAATTTTTTTTTCTCTACCACTCGTTATTGGACATATTTTTTAGCTGCGGAGAAAAACGAGCGAAAAAAACTCCACAACATTAAAAGTATAATGACCCGACATTTACAAATCATTATGTTGTTACAACGTCAATGCAATCATGATTTATTTAATACTAGCTGACCCAGCGAACTTCGTACCTCCCTAAAAAAATAGGGGTTGTCCAGCGGACAAAATTGTGAATCTAAACCATTCTCAGATTCCCTTGAACACACACAAAAAATTTCATCAAAATCGGTCCAGTCGTTTAAGAGAAGTTCAGTGACATACACACTCACAGAAGAATTATATATATAAAGATAGAAAACCAGTTGGAATGATTGGAACAGTTCAAACCCAATATGTGTCTGTAATATAATCAGACACTTTATATTAAGCTTTTTAAATAAGTGCTTTTATTACACTATCTTTGAATTTATTTATGGTTTAATTACAGAAAGAATTTTAAAACAGGTTACTCTAGGAATAATCCTTAGCTACACTCATGATCAAGAACTAATACCAGCATTTACGTTATATGTTTTTATAGCGGTAGCATAAGGTTCGTGCATTCGCCCGGGTAGCGAAGGGTGCGGATTCGACTCCCGTCTGCTGCCTGGCCCGCGTGGAATTTTTTCTAGTAAAATTTTCTTTAGCATTTACGTGTTGTATTTTACCTCTGGACCCCGGTTCTCCGTCCTTGCCGGGTGGGCCAGAAGGCCCCGGTAGACCTCTCTCCCCTTGCCTGCCAGGTGCACCCATCATGCCAGGCAGACCTGGCAGACCCGCATGACCTTTGGCACCGTTAGCTCCGCGTTCACCTAAAAATAAGATGTGGATTTAGACGAGTTCATAGTATCAACTACTTTCATCCCCTTGTTTGTGTGACGCTATTTTGCAATTATTATGTAAAATTATGCCAGATGATGGAAGTGATTGTTAATTAGATTAACTTGATACATATTTTAAAGCAGCTGTAGAAGTATCTATTTTTCATACGATCATATTTAGTTTACCAATCTCTTTTCTTAGTTAAAATTTAATCATACATACACCATATTTTCACACTATATTTTAAAGCATATATACAGATATAAATATTACCATGTTCTCCTTTGGCGCCGTTAATGCCGGCCGGGCCTTGTTTACCGGCGGGACCTTGTGGTCCGTCCGCACCGGGTTGGCCAGTTTCGCCCCGTGGACCTCTGTCCCCAGATGGTCCAGCAGGCCCAGCAGCTCCTGGTGGTCCCTGTTTTATATGGTTATTTTTATTACAAATAAATAAAAGTAATTTATGATAATCAGTAGTAGTGGAAGTAAATATTAGTGTTATAAGTTGTGAAGATTTATACATTTATTTTATACATATTAGGATTTATTTTCGTTAATTTCAATATATGAAGTTAATTTACCTGTGGTGTAGCTATATAATATTCATTTAGCTGTAATGACTACTAAATAAATATAAACTTAGATACATAATAAAATAAATAAAAACTATCGAGGCGTTTTTGATATCCTCACTGAATTAAGTAAGCTCTTTCTATTATATCTTAAAGTTACAAATTTTGTGAGCTATGTTATTAACAAACATTTTTATGTTTTAAAATCTGACCTGAAGACCAGGTAGACCTTGAGAACCTGGTTGTCCAGGTTGGCCCATTGGTCCTTTGTCTCCAGGTCGTCCAGGTATGCCGGGTTGGCCTTGCTTTCCAGGTCTTCCCTCGGGACCAGGCTCTCCCATCTGCCCAGGAGGTCCTTGTAAGCCCGGTGGTCCAGATGGGCCTGGGGCCCCGTCGGCACCTGCTTTCCCTGGAGTGCCACTCTCACCCTATATTTGAAAGTAAACAAATATTACATTTATTGAAATTTTTATAAATCAATTTCGCAAATTAGCGTTGTAATAAAAAAGGCTCTTTTGATATTAATGCACTGATTTAAACCTTGTCCTGCTGAGATTAGGTAGGACAAGAGAAGTCACAAATATTTTACACAAATCTTGTTGATAAAACAATAATTACGCACAAAAATTTAATTATAATTTTTATTTTAGGCATATAATTTATTTTTAATTAGTATAAATATTTTGAAGGTGTTTTACCGGTACGCCACGAAGGCCTTGCGGTCCAGAAGGTCCCATCATGCCCGGAAGACCCGACGGTCCTCTTTCTCCAGCTGGTCCAGGCGGTCCACTTAATCCTTGAGGACCAGTTTCACCCTCGCTACCTCTCTCGCCCTTTGCCCCTTCGGGACCCGCCGGGCCAGTGAGGCCTTGTGGGCCAGATGGGCCAGGTCGACCAGTGTCTCCTGTCGATCCTTTAGATCCAGGTGTACCTGGTACCCCCGCCGGGCCAGTGCTGCCTTGTGGACCCTATTATGATACATTTAAAGTGTTACATAGGCTAATAGCCCTATTTTAATAGGCATTAATAATAAAAACACATTATTATCTTTTACACACATATATAAAAATACAATCAAACACGCAAATTCTTACCCGACTTTAACTTGTTAGTCAGGTACATGTTAGAAGTAGGTAACTTTGCGAGGAGTTTTGGTGTGATATGTAGCACAGCTTTTTCTATGACACTAGCCTCTCATCTATACTTATAATAAATCTGTAGAGAGGTCAATTCTGTACATGAAATATATATTTAAAATAACTATCAGGGGGTGATTAGTGATCGATACTGATGCCAAAAATGCAATCAGTAAAATTTTTGTCTGTCTGTCTGTCTGTCTGTGTGTATGTTCCTTATAGAGACAAAAACTACTCGACGGATTTTAACGAAACTTAGTACAATTATTCTTCATACTCCTGGGCAGGTTATAGTATACTTTTTATCACGCTACAATCAATAGCAGCAGAGTAGTGAAGGGAAATGTTGGGAAAACGGGAGAAGTTACTCCATTTTTTAAGCTTCCGTCACGTGTGCAGCCTTAATGGTTAAAGTTACATAGAAATCCATTGTGACAGAAATATTCTACATAAAATTGTCTAAAAAATATCCCGCAACAGCATATGTCTATCTTATATGGTTGACTCACAATATAAATTCTATTATCACGTGTAATTATATAAATAAAGTCATTGTTTATAGCACAAGCCTGAGAACAAAAACTATAGTTTACACTACAACTCTACACCGAAGCGAAGCGAGGGCGGGCCACTAGTAAAGAAATAAGTGTAACAAATCTATGTTTCACTAAGTTTCTACTTAACTGTTGTAACATAATGTGTTAGAATTTGGATTTTCCATCTCATTAATTATCAAAAAAAAAAGATATATCCTTAGTTTTTGCACATATGAGACGTTGAAAATACATCTAACCTTCATGAGTTTTCCCAAAAAATAATGCAGGTTTACCTCGTATTTAGATATTGAATTAAATAGAATTACTATCAAACACTTTCGTAAAACTAATCTACCATCATTGAACTACTGAAATATGTATATATTAGTATAATTAGTTCATTAATAATTATTTTATAAGACTGGAAACATCACCCGTAAAATGCAATATAAACTAGTGCAAATCTACCTACGTACCGATCAGTACGGCAGCAGCTTAATTTTGTAAAAGGGCTTTTAAAGTAAAATAAAATATTTTTTATCCGTATATAGCTTCTAAGGAATTGTTTGTTAGTTGTTTTTGTCTAGATAATAATAGTACTGATGCTACTAACGGGGGGTCCCAGATCACCCGGTCGGCCTGGTAGTCCCGCATGACCCGCTTCGCCTTTATGGCCCTGTTCACCCCTAGGGCCAGTAGCTCCAATTTGACCTGGCAGGCCACGTAGTCCTGGCTCTCCGGCCACACCTAAATACAAAAGAAATAAATACAAATATACGGTACACAGCTATTTCATCTGTCGCTTGATCAAAAAAGTCATTATGAGACAATAGGCATTCAGCGACGTTAAATTTAAATTTTAAACGGTTTACAGGAACAGTCACTTTTTTAGCAAATATAGATAACACTTGAGTATGACTTTGCAATTTATCTTATAAGTACCACATCACACTCATACAAACACTTTAGCACGTATGTTGTACGTTAAGCATTAATAATAAATATAACAACAATTTTTAGTTTTGAAATGCAACAATATCAAGAAAAGAGGTTAGAATTATATAAATTTAAGTTAATTATTTGGTACACATGTCCTAATTAAAAAGAGTACAAATGAAAACAGTATTTTTATTAAATTGTAAATTACCTGGACTACCAGGCGATCCTTGCTGTCCTTTTGCACCCGCGTACCCCCGGTCGCCCTTAAGACCCGGCATGCCCGTCAGGCCCGGTGGTCCCGGCAGCCCCGGGGCACCCTGCATTCCTGGCTGACCCCGGTCCCCGGGTGACCCGGGTGCACCGGCCTCGCCTGGTACACCAGAAACACCCGGTTCGCCCCTTTCCGCGGGTTCGCCCGGAGGACCGGAGGGACCGATAGGGCCTTGTGGACCTTGTTCGCCTTGCCGACCTGTAGATAAAAAACAAATATTAATATTAATTTTTAACACTCACAATAATTAGCCTAGCCGCATAGTAAGGCTTATGGTATAGGGTAATAAGTTAACGGATAGCCTAGATAATTGAACTGATATCCAAAATTCGAATATTTATCTAGAAATTAATATAACCAGTCGTGACCAGTACAAAATACAAATCCTCGTATTTATCATACAAACATTTATCATACTGGGATTCGAACCCAAGGCCTCGGAGTAGAGACATCTTGAAACATACCACTCATACCACGGAGGTCGACAAAAAATATTATTTGAATGTTTTATCTATCATTCGTTTAGTATTTAATAATTATGCCATTTGCATTAGTTAGGGCCTTATAGCTATGCAATGTCTGTACAATCAAATCTATATGAGGTAAACCTCACAGTTCACACATTCGTGAAATGTGTATTTAAATTTGTTAAATTGAAGAATGTGGTACTTATTGTACATGCATGAAAATAATCAAAATCATACCAGGAGGGCCATCGTTGCCCATTGGTCCCACTGCGCCTCGTTCTCCTTTTTCACCAGCAGGGCCAGTAAGCCCTCTTTGCCCTGGCATACCCATTGCGCCCAATGGACCAGGGTGGCCTTTACTGCCACGAGGCCCTTCGGGTCCCTAAAGAACGGCATAATTAATAGTTTAGTCAGCTGGTAATTATAGCCTGCTAATGATTAATATATTAATATAATAAAATGTTATAGGGATAAGATATTATAAAGATTAACAATCTACGACCAGAACTGCCGGCTCAGTAATGGCTACAATAAAAATAGATCATTCTATAGCTTTTCAAAACTACAATTTACTCTACGAATAGCGTTGAAGCACATGCAAAAAAGGGTTCAACGTATTTTTATGCAAAATTAAAAAATCGGCACTGTTACAAGTGCGGAAATATTGGGGTCTCGCAAAAACAAGGTGTAATATAGCAAGCAATCCCGTAAAAACCACAAAGTACTATATTCTTAGTGACCAATAAAACGGTATTGTAAATAAAGTAAATAGTTATGGGTAAAGGTTTCTCACCGGAGGACCATCAGCACCTTGTGCCCCAGTCTCGCCTTTCTCTCCTGGAGTACCCGCTTGGCCAGGAAGACCTCTCTCCCCTGGGAATCCTCTCTCGCCACGAGGCCCCGAAGGTCCGGGCGGACCGATTGGACCAGCTACTCCAGCCTCACCATCTTTTCCTGGGGTGCCAGGTAATCCGGCTGATCCAGGCATACCCTAAAAAATATTATTATTTTCTACTTATTTATAGTTGGAAAATGTTTGTTGGATATATTCTAGTACTAGATTTTCATTTTCTCGAATTGGAATTGAGCCAGGGTAAACCATGGCATGAGTGATAGCTTCGATATTGCAAGATTCGCAAGCTTCTATAGGATATGGTAGCTGCTTACCATCAGGCGGTCCATATGATTGTTATCCACTCTCTTAACATAATAAACACCCACATTAAACCCTTCTTAATTTCTGGTAAAAAAGCAAAACATATGTAATTATTACCGGAAATCCTGTTGGTCCAGCGGGACCCGTGGGACCTCGTTCCCCATTTGGCCCAGCTGGGCCCTGTGGTCCTTGAATACCCGGGCCACCGTCACGTCCTGCATCGCCTTTAGGGCCCTGTGGACCAGGTTGTCCTACTTCTCCATCTTTACCTGGCTCACCCTGAAAAAGATTTTAAGTATAATAAAGTGTTTTTGAAGGGAATAATTAAGTTATTATTTTTAATGTGATAACCATAGAACTTACTTGTAATCCTCGTTCGCCAGGGCTTCCCATAAGTCCAGGAGGACCTTGTAAGCCTTGGGGCCCTTGTTCGCCAGGTCTACCATCAGCTCCAGAAATCCCTCGTTCTCCTTGAGGACCCGTTTTGCCAGAAACGCCAGGCCTGCCAATTGAACCCCTTGGACCTTGCAATCCTTGGGGTCCAGGGCGGCCTGGATCGCCTGTGCTTCCTTTAGTACCGGGTAATCCAACACCTCCACGTTCTCCTGGTTGGCCTTTTAGGCCCATTGGACCGTCTGAACCAGGTAATCCTCTCAAACCACTTAAGCCTCTCTCGCCTGGAGGTCCGACATTGCCAGCAGGACCTCTTAGACCACGTTTCCCTCTTTTACCTTCAGGACCCACAGTTCCAGGTAGACCTCGAGGACCTGATGCACCTGGTTCTCCACGTGGCCCTGAATCACCTTTGAGTCCTCTTTCGCCCGGTTGACCCTATAATGTGACAAAATAATGGTATTGTTATATTATAGTTTTAGTTCTTAAAAATGTGGGATTTTTTTATACTTTGTATGTATGCATTGTCTCGATTACCGGTATTCCTTTGGCACCATGTACTCCTGGATCTCCAGCAAGGCCAGGGGTTCCTCTAGGTCCAGGGAAGCCCTGTGGCCCAGTGGCTCCAGGTTGTCCTTGTACGCCCTTCTCCCCTGGTATTCCATCCCTTCCAGCTAACCCAGGAGGACCAGCATCTCCTGGTTGCCCGGGTCTTCCAGATTCTCCACGTGGCCCTTGCAGACCTTGACTCCCTTTAGGTCCTGCTATTCCTTGTTCGCCTTTTATGCCCGGAGATCCTGGGAAACCAGGTGCCCCAGGTTTTCCCACGTTGCCCTGCAATGTGTGAAAAGCAATTATGGATTAATAATTTTAGATTAGTTTTAGTTACGACAATATTTATAAGAGTTATTATAATTTATTCATTGCAGATAAATTACAACAGTTAAGTTAAGGTTTCCAAAAATTTTATAATGCGCTTCATTGTACTTACTATCAACCCTGGAGCACCTGTAGCACCATCAGCACCTCGCATACCTGGTGGGCCAGGGGGACCCTCTCGCCCTCGTTCACCTCTAGGACCAACCGGACCCTACAACAAGTAAATTCGATAAGCTTAGACATTCAATTTGCGATAAACTGACATAAGCCGAGGTCTTAAATGGCACAGTAAGATATAGGTACAATTCAGTATTCGTAACTATAACTTTTTTTAAACTATGAATTATAATCTAAATTGGTCCTCAATGTAATTAGTTTATAATATTTAAAACAAAACATACAATAGGTCCAGTCGGGCCCATTTGTCCCGGTAAGCCCGTGGGTCCCTTCTCTCCGGCTGGACCCTGATCACCCTTTGCTCCGTCCTTGCCATCGAAACCACGATGCCCCTTCAAACCCTGAATCCCAGGTACTCCTGGACTACCACGGGATCCTGGCTGACCGGCAGTTCCTGCTGGGCCTGGCTCGCCGTCTTCTCCTGGAGATCCCTGAAATATATTGATAGTAATAATTTCGGACATTCGTTATTAACTTTGGTTCCTAATGTTCGTTTTAGAAAAATACAGTATTTTCAATACAGGTTTCTTTTCACCACTGTTCTTAGTAGATGACTCATAGGTAAGTTCAGGCATTCAGAGAACGTGCACACACACGATTGCTATTTTAACAATATACAGATTTGTTCCAAAACCTTGCCACATGGAAGGAAAGAACTAATCCAGGATCGTGTGGCGGCGTTTTGTATCGGCGGGCAACGACCATTTTTAGCGTGTGGCGGCCACCGGCATACCGTGTATGGCGAGTCCATATAAAATGTATGAAAACTACAAGAAACATGCCGGTGGCGGCGTTTTGTGGTTGTGGTCGGTGGCCCGTGAGCAGCGACACTAATAGGCTCAAAATACCTTTTATTATTTTTTTATTATTATAATACTTTTAACTAAGTATTATTTAAAATTGGTTGGTTTTTTCATATGGTAACATTATCTTTTCTTACGTCTTTTCCGGGCGGTCCTTGAGGTCCTCTTTCACCAGGTGATCCCTGTAAGCCTGGTAAGCCAGGCTCCCCTGGCTCTCCCCGCGGGCCTTGAAATCCTTGCGGTCCTGGGGGTCCTTGAGGGCCTGGTTAAAGAAATAATCGTATATTACCTAATATGAATAGTAACATATCCCTGTAGGACCCGACAGACATTGTCCTGACTTATTAAAATATATAAAAATCTAATTTAAAACCCGTCTGTCACGCTACATATTGGATAAAGATGATAAGTTTAGTCTTCTCTAATTTTCAGTGCTAGGTTCTTATTTATGTTCTGTAAAATCGTTCTACAAAATATTAGAATACTTTGAAAAATAGGGATGAAATCAGTAAAGTTGTTCTTAAGTTATGGCGTGACCAAGATAAATGGGGGTTTAATACAATGTCAGGTGGAGATTTCAATACCTATTTAAAGTTCAAATTGCTATCTTATAAGCTAAACAATAACTCACCCGGTATGCCCCGTATGCCTGGAGCACCTACAGGCGCCTGCATGTAAGCGTAAGGATCAAAAGCCGGTCCCTTGTCACCACCTGCAGCCGCTGCGAGTTGAGATAAGTATGCGTGTACCTGAGGATAAATGAAAATGTAGAACAAAACTATACCACCAAACAATACAAAGCTCTGAGACCAATTTTAACCTATGCTGAAAGTATATCTCCTATAGATGGTCGCTACAAATAAAATCTCTGGATTAAAATAAAACAGCCCTTCAATTTATTGCATCGTGCATTATCTATATAACTTCATCTGTAACTATAGTAACATGTCGGAAAAAACATTTATGTATCTATATACGTACGAAAAAGTCAATATTTTTCCCTCTAGCAATGAAGAAGAAAATTAAAGCGAGAATAAACTGGTTATATCAAACTTAGCGCTAACTGAAGTTACGCAGATGCAATTGGAAGTTTAGAATGATCAATATAGCTATACCCACATCAGGCATAGGTCCAGTGGGCCCAGGCAAACCTGGTGCGCCGGGGACGCCGTTAGCTCCGGGTATGCCAGGGAGGCCTGACGGGCCATCCTCGCCAGGCAGGCCGGTCACTCCGCGCACCGGAACCACTGGGACAGAGGGACGGGATGGTCGCACTGTTGGTAATAAAATTAATACAATTGCAAAGGTTTATAGAAATTTGAACAATCTATACTGTAGAGAGGTCAATTCTGTACATGAAATATATTTTCAAAATAACTATCAGGGGGTAATAAGTGATCGATACTGATGCCAAAAATGCAATCAGTAAAATTTTTGTCTGTCTGTCTGTCTGTCTGTCTGTCTGTGTGTATGTTCCTTATAGAAACAAAAACTACTCGACGGATTTTAACGAAACTTGGTACAATTATTCTTCATACTCCTGGGCAGGTTATAGTATACTTTTCATCACGTTACAATCAATAGGAGCAGAGTAGTGAAGGGAAATGTTGGGAAAACGGGAGAAGTTACTCCATTTTTTAAGCTTCCGTCACGTGTGTGTTAAAGTTATATAGAAATCATGTATGACGAAAATATTCTACATAAAATTGTCTAAAAAATATCCCGCAACAGCATATGTCTATCTTTTATGGTTGACTCACAATAACACGTGTAACTCCTGATAGCTTAGCAGTTCGGAGCATTCTGATTATATTTGTTTACTCTTACGTTTATAATACTCTCACTCATCCCTAATTTAAAAAAGTTAACATTATTACCTATTCATTCATTCATAAAAAAAGAATCATAGAAATCGGTATAGAAACACCAAACTTATACATGAAATAAGCCATCGCGCCGTCGCACGTGAATACTGAATCATGCTTTAAGGATTATTTTTGTGTAACGGCTGCCGCGCTCGACACGGGTCGTGGCGGCGCGGTAGGGTATAAAAAGGCGGGAGGTCCGAAAGCGAGCTTCCCCGCTCCCCCGATCCTGAGAGACCTTCAGTCGCTCAGTCCCAAACCGATACGGATGCACATCAGGGTGCATCCGTCCTCTAAGCGCACTATGCAGTAGTATTTACTAAGGCAGCGCTGCATCATCCCCTTCTCAGGGGTTGATCGCATCAGATGAAGCCTGTAAGGCCCCTAAGGCCATAGGCACCCCCCACGGGTGTGTTTTAGTCAGTAAGAGTCTGACATAACTCTACAGCCGGCTGTAGGGTATCCATGAGGATTTCACACCCGCTCCCCCGCCTGGGAGGAAACAAAAAAAAAAGAAAGCGAGCTTCATTCAATATTTGGCTGTTGATGCGTTCAGAGCGTTCGACCTTATTGACAGACAATAATTGATATTGAGAAACCGTGCTTATCTATACTTATAATATCTTAGAATAAAAACCAAACATTTGTAAACAAAATTAGGAAATAAATCATGTAAAACGTGTAGAAAATGAGTACTAGAAAACGGAAATATTTTAGTTTGGTTATAAATACAGGTAATAAAAATGACCGTTAATATCTATATCTTTATATATATAATTCTTCTGTGAGTGTGTATGTCACTGAACTTCTCTTAAACGACTGGACCGATTTTGATGAATTTTTTTGTGTGTGTTCAAGGGGATCTGAGAATGGTTTAGATTCACAATTTTGTCCGCTGGATAACCCCTATTTTTTTAGGGCGGTACGAAGTTCGCTGGGTCAGCTAGTATGAAATAAATGTCTATAGTTTATAGCTATGTTTATAGCTAGGGATTGTTACCATGTACCTTGGTTTTTTATCCGAAATATTGGAGACTCATTAAAAGCAAGGTACATAGCAACAATCCCGTTAATAACTATAATGTTACTGACCATGAAAGTTTCAAACAATATAATATATATACTGTCTTAACAGATGAAAAAGTTAAATCTAAAATTGACAAATGTAATGCAGTCTCAAGTAATTGATAAATGGTCTTTTGTGATGACTACGATGGGTCACTAGGGCAGTATGAATTGTACTGCCCTACTAGCAGATAGCGAAGAACGCTTATTCAATTCCAGCTTGATTCGTAAAGCGAGCTTTATTTTTTCAAGTAAAAAAAACTCTTGCAGCCCGGCAAGGTGAGGATGGTTGGTGTGGCAGTTTATAACTGCTGAATCAGCTATTTTCGCGTTCGGACTTTATCACTACTTAACATCATGTGGAGTAGAGTCATATGCCTACCTGGCTATATATAAAAATAAAAAAAACATTTATTATTGGTACCTGTGAGGCAAGCGGGTAACACAGTGCAATTGACTCGACCACTGAAGCACTGGCACAGAGTGCAGTTGTCTCGTTTCCATTGTTCGCCTTCGGTCCAGGCGCGGCCGATGTCCACGCAGCGTTGAGCCGATGGTTGCGGAACTGTTAGGTTTAAATAAATTTGTATGTGAATTTCAATTTAATAGTGAAGTTGACCACGGAATAAATAAAGAAGTTTGACTTCGCAAGATCTATGTGTGGATGGCGCTAACCTATGCTATTATTATATTAAAAATGTGAAAGTTAGTATGTTTCTTACTGAATCACGCAAAAACTGCTCAACGGATTTGTATGAAATTTGGCACGCATATAGTTTAAGATCCGGGTTGAGACAAAGAATACTTTTTATTATGGAAAAATGTAAGATCCTTTGAGATTCTCAAAAAATCTCCTTTAACGCGAACGAAGTCGCGGGCGGAAGCTAATGTATTTTTTTTCAATGGTCTTTATACTTACTTCTAGTGGGTGGTGTCCGCACAGGTGGAAGATCTAAAAAACAAAGAAAAAAAAATTGGATTATTAGTACTTTATTAATTTATGCAAGTATGATTAGGACATTTCTATTTATTTATATTAAAAAACAAGATAGTAAACACAAGATTTTTTACGGAAGATGTAGGTTAGGTTAGGTTAGGTTACCTTGTCTGATGCCTGAAACGAGTGGAACTTTTTCTAGTAAAAAAAAATCTTTAGATTTTGTTATATTTTTTAAGCATGTAACTGCTAGAAGTTAAAATCTAAAGAAATTTTTACCATCCGGGCGAAAGCACTAACCATTATGCTACCGCGACCCTGGTCAGTGCATTCGCCCGGATAACGAAGGGTGCGGGTTCGAGTCCCGTCTGCTGCTTGGTCCGCGTGGAATTTCTTCTAGTAACATTTTCTGTAGATTTAAACTTCTAGCTAGTTTTTCGTGTAGTACAATTTTCTCATGATTATTTATTTATTAATGGGACAGTGCACAGCTTATCTTTATATTGGATTTACTATCTATGATTTACAATTTGAAAGCCAATTATGACTATCCATTTACAATAAGGTTTCAAATGAACAGACGTGATCACATAAGAAAATAAGAATGTTCTTAACTACTAATACAGTGAAACAAAACAAAAAAAAACAGACCTTATCTGTGTTCAGGGGCACATAAGATGTAATTATTATTACATTCAGTCCCTAATATACTTTTCTTTACTTTAAATGTACAATAAGGATCAAAATAAAATGTGGAATATATAATATTCCTTCCTTCTCATATTAGTAAAATATAATGGAATTGCACATATAGTTATTTGCCTGACTTCGAACACTTAAATACTTTTGATCCCTGATTTTATGCGGAGAAGCATACATCTCTCACATATTAAATGCTCAATTCCCGTGGAATTCTGAAAACTAATAGCAGAACCTTTCGGGTCTTACAAAGGTATCAACTAAGTTGCTGGCAAAGTCTTGAAATTAATAAAGTTGGATATAAATCTGTACTTACTGGTTGACGGTCTGTAATCCCTTTCGCTAAGGACGGCTGGAAATAAAAGTGTCACTGTTTTAGAATTAATAGTACCCAGCAAACGGATGAATATTAAAATTAGATTGTATTTTCATCGCCAACGGGGAGTTTGTTTGGTACTCATAGAGCGTACTTTTAATGGAATTATACTTATTTATGTATTCGAAAGCTTCATCGTGTTATTTCCTATTTTAAGGTTTTAAAAACTTTCAGCGAAATGAAAGTCAAAAGACAATGTTAAAATTGGCCTAAGAACCAACTCCAATTTGGCATTTATGATAATTCTTAATATATTTTTTGGGATAATTATCAGTATTTAGATTGTGACGGACACCTCCAATTAAGTAAGCTAAATTAATAGGGGAGAGTGGGGGAATTGCGGACGCGGGGTAAATACGGACTAGCAAGTATCTACTCATTCCCTCCACCCGCGGCAGCCCGGTGCTGTCGTCTGTTTCTTTCCGCTATTTTAATGCCACGCAAAAACTTACGACAGCCGGCTGCGCACAGTTTGAAAGGTAGGTAAAATTAAAAAAAAAGTGTATATTGATCTAATTTTTAGTGTTTTTTAATTCGAGGGACAGGTCTGTATACTAAGTGATGGTAAAAAGTGATATTTTCTATGGATAGCTTTGTCAATGGAGTTTGAATCGCCAATGTTTGTTTTTATGGAACGTTTTCATAATCTACAAATTTCTCTCTTTGATTAAAAAATACCCAGTTGGGTTAATTGCGGACACGGCTTGCGGGGTATATACGGACGTCCGAAAATCAAAGTACGACAAGTCAAACAAGTCAATCTTCATCAGTAGCGCTAAGTGATTTAATAAAGGTCCCAACTCTACAAATTCATCGTAACTTTCAGTAAACAAAAAGCATTCTATGATTTTTACCAGCACCCCGGAAAAAAAGAATCTAGAAGAAAAGGAACAAAAGAAATCAGACAAGAAAAGAAAAGCTCAAGAAATAGAAAATAAAACTACATCTAATAAGCTGAAAAAGTCAGAACTTTCTACAGGAAAAGGATCAAAGGGTTTAAAGAATCTGAATAATTTTGAAAATGAAGGAAATGTTGATTACTTTTGCATTTATTATCAGGAAAAGTACAGTGATCCACTCGCCGAAGACTGGATTATGTGTTTAAAGTGTAACAAGAGGGCTCATGAGAACTGCACTGCAGGAAGTTATTCTAAAGGCTTTACTTGTGATTTTTGTCAATGATGTGGACCTAGTCCGTAAATACCCCATGCTGTCCGTAATTAACCCAGGGTCAGTCCGAATTTACCCCGAACGCTACGGGTAATTACGGACAGACAAGGTTTTGTTTTTGCTAAAAAAAATCTATTTGTTGATAGATCTCGTTTAATAAGTATAATTGATTTTGTAGATGGATAACTAAAGATTAATAATTAATAAAGACAGACTAATTATTACTAATAGTACGAATGTTGTGCGTTATTTCCCTTCAGCGTCCGTAATTCCCCCATCCTCCCCTAAGTTAAAAAATAATCTGAGACAATAAATACCATTTTATGTGTATAATCTATGACAGCGCTGCAAACAAAAGACTCTTTCTTCCTAATGCCGGCACTTCACTTGGCTATTCGTATTTGCTATTTTATAACATGACATCAGTCTGTCCTTTTCATTCCTTATTAAGCATGACAAGGACAAACTGTTGTCAAATGAAGGGCTGGCACAAAACTCGATACTCTGTGGTTGTGGTGCAAGCAGGCAGTTTGCATTCGTAGTAATCAGTGGCATTCGTGCATTCCAAAAGAGTAGTTTAATATACAGAAAAGTGCATTCTCATTTGATATTACTTGTTGTGTGTGTTTATTTGCGATTGTTTTTCCTATAATTTAACTATTTCGACTATCTAATATGCCATCGATGTTACCAAAGAGTTACCTTATTACCAAGTGCTAGTGAACCTGTGCCACAACATCCTGAGAGGATCATACTGCCAAATTATTCAAGAACACCTGATACACCTTCACGCTGCCTATTTACACAATATATATGTGATATATAAATAAATACCGTATACAATATTATACAATTATGTGAAAAATAGTCAATAAATAAGAAGCAAAACTACAGTTTTTATTTTATTCATGATTCATAATAATCATAATCATAATCAAAATCATTTATTCAGTTTAGGCTGTTACAAGCACATATGAATGTCTAGAAGCTACGCCATCGGTTCGTAAATCTACGGCGGGAGACCTTGTACTGAGAAGAACCGGCAAGAAACTCAGCAAGGGCTGTTTTTTTCTCCCTGTTTTATTATTTACAGAGTCGTCAAATTGAAAAATGACTTCAGAGGTGATTCATGAAGTCACTTTTCATTACATAATTATTAAATATACATTAATTGTTTACCTGCATTTTGATTGCTGTGTCATACAGTATAAATACAAATAGTGTTATTTATATTCAGTGTGACTAAACATTAACTTCAATATTAAGGAAGTTAGGGCAGACTCATCTCCGCTGGCAGCACCCGTTCACGAGCATGACGCATGAACCAGCCATCGCTTCGCTCAACCATATTTTAGGGAACGTAACGACCCGCCTCACACGACACCGCCGAAGAGACTATTATGAGAGCATGACTACCCATAACTACCCATACTAACTACAACATATTTACTTAAATTAAGGTCATTTACCAGTAAGACACAACAAACAATTACAAAACAAAGCAAAGGAGAAATCACGACCACGCCGTTTTGTCAATCAAATATTCTTAAACAGTCTGGTAATCTTACTTAAGTTATTAACTTTATATACAGCTTTCAGTTTAATTATAGTATTGTCAACACATAATTCATAATTTAAATCATATAGAAATACCCGTTGGAATGGTTGGAACAGTTCATACCCAAGCATTTTTGTCTGTAATATAATCAGACACTTTATAATATGCTTTCTTAACTAGTAATTTTTTAATGGTCGATTTAAATTTAGTCATGCTTAACTCTTGAATATTGCTTGGAACTTTATTGTAAAAGCGAACACTAAGACCTCTAAACGAATTATTGATTTTGTGGAGCCTAGTAGCAGGTAAAGTTAAGTTATTTTTATTTCTAGTATTATATGTATGTATTTCACTATTTTTAGTAAACAAATTAATATTTTTTTTTACAAATACTAAGTTGTTATATATGTATTGTGATGCAACTGTCAATATACCTATTTCTTTAAACTTATCTCTTAATGAATCCTTAACTTTAAGATTATAAATTGATCGAATAGCCCTCTTCTGCAGCACAAATATAGTTTGAATGTCGGCGGCATTTCCCCACAGTAAAATACCGTAAGACATTACACTATGAAAATAACTAAAGTAGACTAATCTGGCAGTTTCTATATCCGTTAACTGCCGTATTTTCATTACAGCATATGCTGCAGAACTAAGTCTCTTCGACAATCCATCAATATGTGGGCCCCACTGCAGCTTAGAATCTAGTGTGATTCCTAAGAACACTGTGGTATCTACAGAGCTCATATGTCGATCCTTTATATTTACATTAGTTTTTACCTGTTTCACATTAGGTAATACAAATTTCAAACACTTAGTTTTCCCTTCATTTAGCATCAAATTATTAACATTGAACCAATGGACTACCTTCGAAATAGACCTGTTCACGTCATCAATTTGTGACTCCCTACGTTTAATTTTAAACAAAAGTGAAGTGTCATCCGCAAACAATACTATTTCGTGGTTATCCTTTACAAAATAGGGCAAGTCATTGATATAAATTAAAAATAAGAAAGGACCAAGGATTGAGCCCTGCGGAACTCCCATCTTAACCGACGAACCAGGAGATTTTACTCCATTGATGTCAACCCTCTGAACCCTATCACTCAAATAAGATACAATAAGATCCAGAGTGGTATCTCTAAATCCATAGTGGTGAAGTTTCCTGATCAATGTTTCATGAAAAACGCAATCAAAAGCCTTTGATAAGTCACAAAATACACCTAATGCATCTTGCGAGTTCTCCCAGGCATCAAAAATTTGCTGTACAAGCTCAACACCGGCATCGGTTGTTGAGCGACCCCTTGTGAAACCAAATTGTTTACTATGAAGAATGTTATTACTATAAAAATATGATTGCATTTGATCTAGCATAATTTTTTCAAAAATCTTACTAAAGGTGGGTAACACGGATATAGGTCTAAAGTTTGTGGGGTCAGATGTGCTACCCGATTTATGTAATGGAGTTATTTTACTGAGTTTCATTAGATCAGGAAAAACACCACAGTCAACACATTGATTAAAAATGCTAGCCAAAATAGGAGCTATTGTCTCAATTACTGATCCAGAAACATCCACGGAGTTACCCCACAGATCCGCAGTTTTCTTTTTATTTAATTGGTTGAAATATTTTATTACATCTTTACAGTTAACATACTTAAATTTAAATTGACTAGTATATTGTTTTGTGTGTTCTTTTAATATTGATTCAGCCGCAATGGGGGACGAGTTCAAAGATTTTGTAGTTGAAACTGGAATATCAGTGAAAAAGTTCTCAAATGCTGTAGCAACTTCAACATCTGATGTAACATTTCTATGTTCAATGTTTAAATTAAAACTAGTATTTCGAGTTTTAGATTTTCCAGTTTCATTGTTTATAATGTTCCAAGTCATTTTGATTTTGTCATTACTATTCTTAATCTTACTACTTAAATAATTTGATTTTGCTGTACGACATACTTTTTTAAATAACTTTGAATAATTACGTACGTACTCTTTGAAACTTTCACTAGTATTAATGCTGCGTTCATTGTAAAGTTCATAAAGTTTCCTTCTACTTTTATGTATGCCTGGGGTGGCCCACTCGCTGAAAGTTACTGCATCACTAACACATATGGTTTTGGGAACAAAGACATCATTAAATTCTTTACAAAAATTATTAAAAAAATCATTATACATATCATTTGGACTACTTTTATATTTTAAATAACTCAAACTCCTATCTAATTGAATTTTAAAACGCTCTATACGGTTAACAGATTTTGGCACAATAGTAATATATTTCTTGGTGATATTTTTATTTGGATGAGGAAAAGTAATCATCTGGCCACAATGATCACTATCCAGTTGATTAACAATTACTTTTGAATGTGGTATTATATCCGTATAAATATTGTCAATACAAGTGGCCGAAGTGGCAGTTATTCTAGTAGGCTCCATGAACAAGTTTTCAAGATTATATGATTGAAATAGATTTCTTAAATTAATACTCAAATTAGAGGTTTCTAATAGATTAATATTAAAGTCACCACAAACAATTAATCGTTTACCAGTGTTGACAATTTTTTCTAAAGCTTCATCCATAATAGTTTCAAAACAATCATACAATGCTGAAGGAGGTCTGTATACACTCAATACAACAAGCTGGTCCAGTTCCACACAGGCAATCTCTATTGTTCGCTCAACCGAGAGGCTCACAATATCTTTACGTTCCTTAAATTTAAGTGCCTTATTTAATAAAATTAAAGAGCCACCGCGAATCGCATCTTCTCGACTGAACGAACTACCAACCTGATGATTATTAAAATTAAAGATGAATTGATGACTTTTAAGCCAATGCTCTGTGATACAAAATATATCTATATTGTTACAATTCAAAAATAATTCAATTTCTAAGTCCTTACCCATCATTCCTTGAATATTTATATGCATCAGGTTGATCAAGTTTACATTTTCTTTTAATTGTTTGGGATTTTTCTTAATTAAATTAATATTTTTATGCAAGTTATTACAATAATTATTTATTATTAAGCAAGACGAGTTGTCTGTTGTCTCATTATTTAATTTAAACAATAGTTATTATTTTGTAATTTGTCAGTAGAAGAATTACTGACTGTCAAGTCAATGGAACATTGCTCAATAAAAGCAATTTGTTTAGCCAAGTTTTTGGCTGTTATATAAAAATAATATGATAGCGACTTAGCTATCTGTCTTTTATAATAATTAGAAAGATAATATTTATCTTTGGTCAAATATAAATTTCTAACATAATTGTTAGTGTCAATAATATGAAATTTTTCACTTTTACACATTGTGAACAAAAGCATATTTAATTTATATCTTAAGATATTTTCCTCCTTTGGCAGACTTCTACAATAGGGCAATGTAAACAATATAATTTTTTCAACATTTAATGAGCTCAGGTCATTGACATATTGAATCAATGATTTTTTGTTCAAATTGCCTCTATTTCCCACAAAAAATAACAAAGTAGTGCATTTACTATAATTCTGTTTGATTGCATTTCCTAAGATATCCTTATAAGAAACATTAGGCATACAGTGATTGATAATTGAATTTCCCATTTTAGATAAAAGAGGGCCCATGCCCTTGCCAATTTCATCACTAAATAATATGATTTTTTCATATTTATTATCTAAAACTAAGTTGTCTGAGTGAATTGTTTTCACTGAAGTCAAGCATTCCTTTGATGGCTGCTGTGGGGAACTAATAGTTACATGTTGTGATATGGAGGAATCACAATTGACAGGTGACTGAGCTGTTAACTGTTTACAATCACATGTGTGATTGTTAGTTAAAGAATTAAATCTGTCATTGTTGTAATTACATAATTCAACCAACTCATTCAGTGCCTTCATGTGTTCCTTTATTTCTTTTTGTGACAGTTCATATTTTTTTGTAACATTTATAAGACACTCTTGTAATTGTTCAATTTTACTTTGCAATGTTTGTGTGTCTTTTTTATATCTTAGGCTAATGTTGTCATATTTTATTGAATATATATCCAATTTATCAATTAATTGCAATCTTTCCTTGTTTAATTTTACATTTTTTATAAAGAACTTTTGTTTTTTTACAAGTTTTTGAGTTTTTTTAATGTATTTATTAATTTTTATGTACTTCTTTAATTTATTTCCTTTACATCCAATAACCCCCAGTGTATTCCTACCTATCCAAGGATTTCCTAACCGGATAAAATGAATTAGTTGTAATATTAATTCACTTCACACTAAGTTCATAGGTTGACCTATGTTTCATTGAATATTAAACATAACCTCAAAAAACATTTAGTTATCCTAATAATTTATGTTCTCAGAAGTGTCCGTCAATAATCTTTGTTTTTACAGTCATTTACTTTCGATTTCGAACCTAGAAAATAATATTTCATGATTGTTGGTTCTTAGGCTAACTATGTATGGACGCTGAACAATGTCCTTTTAACCCCTTATTCTAAAACGTAGACTAAAGTTAGACTTAGTATAAACCTATTGCTCTATTAGTCTCCTTTTAAACGTGTTAGTATCATAATTGTCTTTTTTAGACCCAGTTTGACTTAAGTATAAGTTTGAGTAATTAGTTCAATGTGAAGATCAAATCGCAGATCCCACTTATATGCGATTGTAAGTGAATATTCTGTGTTAGAGGATATTGTTTCCACATTTAGTCCTTAAGTGGACCATTGTACGTGAGCCATAGCGGCCGATTGCTCTAACCAGCCCACCTCCCTCCAGAAGTAGATTAGTCTTCCCCGACTTCTCAGGGTATCCGTGAGGGATTCCGGTGTACCGAGAGTTTGTTTGCGGATCTGGGCAACACCTGTGCACTCAGGGAGCACATATGCTGCCGTTTCTTCGGCCTCTGTGCATGCTCTGCATAGGCAACTATCAGTGATTGTAAGTGAATAAAATCTATTATAATTTCGAGTTTCTACACTGACTAATCTTCACTGGGCCCGTTTGGCGCTTTATATGTATATATTTTGATTCTGGCTATAGGAAAACCCTGAGCCCCAGCGATGGGTTATAGTTATGTACTCAAGTTTAAGTTAAAGGTTAATTATATTCGGTAGACTGCAGGTAATTGAGCCGTGGTCCATATATCTTTCTTAATTGCATACTTAAACGCAAGGACCTCCAAAAATTAAGTCCTTTATTAGTTGACCCTAATAAAAGTTAAGCCGGTTTAGAAAAAAGTAAAGATGGCATACAGGCATAGTGGATTAGCCAATATTGGAGGAGTTTATAAAGTGTGCCACAGCCAACATAAACATTATTGTTTGTAGAGTTGAGGGGATTCGTATTAATATTCCTTCCTAATAACCTTCTATAGTGCTTGCTTACTCGAACCTTACCCCGAATAGGTTGTTTGTTTTGCTTTACCAATCTATATATATAAAACTCAAAGGTGACTGACTGACATAGTGATCTATCAACGCACAGCCCAAACCACTGGACGGATCGGGCTGAAATTTGGCATGCAAGTAGATGTTATGACGTAGGCATCCGCTAAGAAAGGATTTTGATCAATTCTACCCCCAAGGAGATAAAATAGGGACAGACGAATGCCATTGTGTATAATACCAGCTTGAGAACAAAACTATAGTCTACACTTCAGCTCTACACCGAAGCGAAGCGAGGGCGGGCCGCTAGTAACCTATAAATTTATGTACTACGCTTTGCGTTAAATTAGTCATAATTATACAGTCTCTGGGGGAACATTATGTACCTAGTAAATATTATCAGTTTATTTTATATTTGATTGTCTTGTTTTCTTCTATTGCAGAGAAGATCTTTCTTATGGTGTGTTAAGTCTACAATTGTGAAAGCTAAAGTAATATCGCAATAGCCGGTCAAAGGATGGATGAACAGCTTTCAAACTCCTCCAGATTTCAGAATGTAAACAGATGGTTTCGACGCCATCGTTAGCATCTGCTGATTCGTATTCTGCGTGGGTTAAGGATTCTTCGGAAACTCGTTAAGCCATTAGTCCCGGCTGGTCCTCTTGGTGGATAATGGCCACAGAACACAATATTTCTAAGATTTGTGGTCTTAAAGCAAGCTCCTACATAAATTCTATTCATAGGGAAGTGCTGTGCCTCAGCAGTTGACCCCACTGGAGCTCTCCAACTACTTGAAGTTAAGCAACTTTCACATTAGTCATTGGATGGGTGACCAAAAATTTACTATCTCAAGCTCCTTCGTGCTTCGGAAGGCACGTTAAGCTGTTGGTCTCAGTTGCATCTGCAGTCGTAAGCGCAGCCACTGCAGTAGGCACGCGTGGTGACTCACAGCCCAATCTCTCTATTCCATCCATAGGGAAAGCCCCTACCCCAGCAGTTACATTAATAGGCTGAGTATAAGCGTTATTTGCATACCGTTCTCGTCGTCTATGTCGATTGGCGAGTAGTCATCATAGTTGATGTCCGGCTCCTGGGCCTGGGGTTCTATTCCCGGCTCAGCCAGCTCCTTGCACGCCGCTGGAGCCACCAGCAGCGCCAAGCAAGCCGCCGTCCATAATAACCGACCTGAAATATAAAAAAGTACGTACAATCACATCCATTTCTAATATCTTTTATTGATTATTATGCTATCTTTAAAAACAAGATGTATTCGATGTGCAATAGATATTGGCAAGAAACAAGGAAGGCAAGGTGGTCAGTGCGCGATGTTGTAGATCAAAGTCGAACTTTTATCGCTTTATCGGGACACGAATTTTCGCACGATAATGTTGCCGTGGCCGAGGAGCTCGATGGCGCAGGTGGTTCGCGCATTCGGCTGCGATGGTTGAAGTTCAGCAACTTTCGCAGTGGTCGGTCATTGGATGGGTGACCAAAAACATCTATCTCGAGTTCCTTCGTGCTTCGCAAGGCACGTTAAATCGTTGGTCCCGGCTGCATCTGCAGTCGTTAGCACCCGCCAATCCGTACTGGGCCGCATGGTGGGTCATGGCCCAATCTCCCTATTCCATCCATAGGGAAAGCCTGTGCCCCAGCAGTGGGGACATTATTAGGCTGATGATGATGATGATGAATGTTGCCGTAGCATAACCTTTAGCATATTTTGGTTTCATATCCTTGTTCTCTAAGGAAACCTAGGAGTTTTTTTTTGCTTAATAGTTACATAACTGAAAAAAAATGAAAAATCATTCATTCGTAATTAATAAAATCAATTTTTATATATATGTATTAGTTATAATTTTATTTATTAATTATAATAATAAACATTTCCAACACTCACACCAATTAGCCTAGCCCCAAAGTGAGCACTGTAAGCTAAGACTCTATAATGTATTCTATCCGTTACCCTAGTATCCCTTAACACAAGCCTTACAGTGTAAGAATATAAGAATACATATACAGTAAATAAATAAGTATATTTATACAGAGACAAATATTAAAACATCCATGACTGGTGTACAAATGCTCGTATTCATCATACAAACATCTGCCCCCACCGGGATTCGAACACAGGACCTCTCGAGTCGGCGACACCATGAAACCCGGCATAAAAACCACTCGGCCACGGAGGTCGTCAAATGTTAAAAGAGTAAAAACACAAATTCGTCAGCTAGATTTGAAACTGTCCGTTAGTTTATAAATTGACGAATATTTATGTGTCGTTCATAAAGCGCACGTGTCACGATGACAAAACGACCGTTGATACGATGATTGCAATTAAAAGCTGCACGCATTCAAATTTTCTTTATTGGATCTAAATTGATAAATGGCTTATTCACAGTTATGGTTTTATTAAACTACCACCTATATATGTACCTATTTATATGTATTGCTAGTAGTATGACCGAAATAGTCACTTCGGATGTCATTGATATAAAAATCTTTCTTCATTGTACTATGAAACAAATTGATTCATGACCTACTTGTACGATAATTCGCTTAAAAATGCAAACATGACAAAGTTTCCTTATGGAAGAGAGATTTTTGAAATTCGACCTTTGTTATCAATGCAATAGATCATCTTGTAGATAAGATTGGAATGGTAGTTTAAATTTCGAAATCACTTTAAAAAACGTAAATGTGACAGTTTTTTTTTTAATTTTGAATAAGAAAAATGTTAGCATACTAAAAGCGTAATCCTCAGTCTATGGGCGAAACTCCAAATAATGTAATGTTAACATTATATCTCAAGGAGGCGACGAAATCTGTTACCTCAAATATGATTGATCAAAAAACAACAAGTTTGTTATCAGGAATACGTACATTTAAGCGAAAGTCTAACTTATTGTTTTGGTAGTAAAAAAAAATTATGGTGGGTCAGGAAACAAAGTGACTGACAGTACAACAATAAACAATCATCATCGTCATCATCATATCAGCCGTATGACGCCCACTGCTGGACATAGGCCTCCCCCAAGGATCTCCACAACGATCGGTCCTGCGCTGCCCGCATCCAGCGTTTTCCCAGTTTTCAATAAACAATAACTTCAGCTAATAATACAGTTTTTTGGATTTCGACATGATCCTCATAATAGGGTGGACATTTGAAATTATAATACTATGAGTATTGCTATAAGGATATCAACAGAAAGCCTTATAAAGAAATGATAAATGTTTATTTGACATTTATTAACAGAGCATCTTAAATGTATACCTACTTAAACCTAATAAGATGGTGTGACGAAGTTACAAAACCCACATTCATGGTTTATTCAGAATAGTTCTTCTAAATAAACCGCAAACAAATTACATCGTTTCACTACGTGTGTGCCTATTTAAGAATGAAGCTCATGCCGCTGTTTTGTGTCGCTGATAGAATCTAGTCTACAATATGTACTAATAAACAAATGTGATAGCAAATTTTAACGACACTTGATGCCACTTGGTAACAATTCGACATCAATCTTCTTTGACATTTCATAAATCTGTTTAACAGAGTGGGCATTGGCCCCGTGTCTGTAAACAGATTGAGTTCATTCACTTTACCCATTCGTTTCTGAAATGATTTATAAATCATATTGTTTACTATTATATATTTATAGTTCCAATCCTAGCATTATTATGTATACAACGCATCATATGTTTGTTACACCTACAGATGCAAGCGATGGCTGGTTCATGCGTCATGCTCGTGAACGGGTGCTGCCAGCGGAGATGAGTCTGCTCTTGCTTCATTGAGTACTATTAATCGTTGAACTAAACTGTAATCGTTCATTTTTTTTGCCTAACCAGTAGGACACGGCATTCCTAAACATTCTTAAACTTTGTTAAACTAGTTTTTTATATATTTTTTATTTTATAGTCATAATTTTTATATTATTTCCATTACAAATTAATGGAAAGTGACTTTATGAGTTACCTCATATTGAAGTCATTTTTCAATTTGACGACTCTGTATATAATACAGGGAGAAAAAACAGCCTTTGCTGAGTTTCTTGCCGGTTCTTCTCAGTACAAGGTCTCCCGCCGTAGATTTGCGAACCGATGGCGTAGCTCTTCGACATTCACAAGTGCTTGTAACAGCCTAGACTAAATAAACGATATTGAATCGAATTACCAATCCGTACTGGGCCCACAAGGCGCAGACTGGCAACTTATTCTCTCTATACCATTCATAGGGTTCTAAGTAGGCCTGAGCCCCATTAAAACGGCTGATGAATATTCAGTTTACCTATTAAGATTGACGATGAATATTTATACGACGGTTAAGCTGGTAATATTTCCGCGTACATAGATAACTCAGATTACAGAACAAAAGGCTGATGGAGTGTACGGTACACATATTGCGTGCCACTAAAGCAAATGCGAAGTCTATAGTAAATGCTTTTTTTGTCGTTGCGTTCAGGAGCTCGATGGCGCAAGTGGTTAGCGCGTTCGGCTGCGATCGTTAAAGTTAAGCAAATTTCGCAGTGGTCGATCATTGGATGGGTGTCCAAAAATTTACTTTCTCGAGCTCGTCCGTGCTTCGGAAAGCACGTTAAGCTGTTGATCCCGGCGGTATCTGCAGTCGTTAGTACTTACCAATGCGCACTGGGCCCGCGTGGTGGGTCATGGCCCAGTCTCCCTATTCCATCCATAGGGAAGGCCTGTGCCCCAGCATTGGGGATATTAATAGGCTGGTGATAATAATGATGATGAACAGTTTTTACGATGCATAAATAAAGAGGCATAGTTTTGATAAAAACGGGTATATTATTCACGGGACGTATTCAGACCAGGAGCTCTATTTTTGAATCACTCGTCTGACATAGTATCGTCGAATGCGACATAAGTCACCTCCGACTTTCAAGTCGCATAATACTGATTTTCCGTATTTTTGAATCACTCGTCACCAGTGTTACCTGTTTGATACGAAAGGAGATTGCTCAGCTTCCATACATGTTTGGCCTAAAAACCAATAACCATGAAAAATTGTTTCCTAGATTCGAAATTATATATAAATTACCGTAGAAACGAATATTATCGACGGCCACTCCTGAGAACTTCTATAAACCATATACACTGAATGATTTTGAGGTTATGTTTGCAAATAGGCACATAGGTATTAGAATAATAAAAACCAAATAACTTATATAGGAAAATAGGGCAATCAAGCCAAGTACCGATATTATGTATTAGATTCAGGTATATAGAGCATGTAAAATAACAGATAATTCCCTGTTTTTAAAATTAATGCACAAGAGTAAGTTTTAAAATCATGATTATGCCATTGCGACTTTCAGAAGCAATCTTGTTTCATTTGACAAGTGTCTAACACTAATTACACTAACAAAATGCATGTCAAGGAACTGGTACCTGCTTACCTATGTTATGAGAAACATGGAACTGTTATCATAATTTTATAAAAACCAATAGGATATTTTCTTAGTAATAATTAGGTTTATAATGGTAAAAGGTAATTCTAATGTAATAATATATTGCGTAGGTTCATGATAGTTCTGATCAATGTGTGAAATATGTATATTCCTGACATAGCTTAAATATTCTAATAAGGTAAATTAATGAAATAAAACAACTTAAGTACTTTTATGTTGCGTTTAATATTACATATCATCTACATTTTGAATTAAAATATCATCGAAATATTTTATCAATCTTTAGTTTTAAAGAACCGGCGAAACAAACTAAGAAGGAGATAAAAAGCCTTAAATAAAGTAAATTAAAATAAAGATTAAATAAGGCTGCGAAACGTCAATAAATAAATAAAATTTCGTGCATTAACCCGTTAAAACTAGTTTTATTTAAAGTGATCCTGTAAGGTCCGTTTTTTTCTTTGAGGCACGGAAACCCTAGTACTGTGGTTTCCAGAAAACTAAATAGAAGTCATTTATTCAATAATGGATCCGCTTATTGTAAAAGTAAAACGTAGCGGTGACTAACTACCACGAACTTCTACAATTACGGCGTGATGTGGCGTCATTAAGCGCTTTCTATCTATCGTCTATACCACGGTTAGTGTTCTGAGGAGTTATTTTCCCTTATCCCACCTTTCACTTCCCTTTAGCAGATAAAAAACTGAGGAATTAATCTGAGATTCCTATTAAGTAGAAGGCGCTTTTAATATTTAT